ACAGTTCAGATGCCATCCTAATAAAAAGCATCAGAAATTTCTTGTGTAAAGCTGAGCATCCACTCAAACATGTGTATCTTGAACACTTAAGGAAACAAACTTTGTCCCTGTACACACATACGAGGGAAGTATGGAGAAATATTGGAATGACTGACACTCCAGAGCACAAGTCCTAGGGAAAGGCCTCCCACACCAAAGAGATTCCATCTGAGAGTTCCACAAGTCAGAAAAAAAAAATGAAACCGTGCCATTTCCACCCAGGCAGCTTTAAGGTTCTACATATTCAAATCTTAAATCCTACAACTTAAAGGGGCCAGAGCCTCCTAACTAGAAACCTAACGCAGAATGGAAAACACATGTGACTTCATAACACTTTTGTTTCTTCATTTCCAGTAACTTGCTGTATCTTTTGTTTGGTAACAGTACTTGTGCTTACCTGGTTTAAGCAAAACCACGAACAAAGAGCACATTTTGCTTCCAAACAGTACTCATCACCTAGAAAGTGATAATCTGCCTGAATGAAATATTGCCATTAGCAATTCCAATCTACATGCATGGGAAAGATTTAAGGCTCCAGGCTGTAGATCCAGGCAAATTTGAAGTGGTAGAAACATCATGATTGCTGGAACACTCCACTGTTAAGAACGAAACAAAACAGTTTCACCATCAAGAAGAAAGTGATTAATCTTGAGCATAAGTCAGAAGAGTTACTTTGTGTTCCTTTAGTTGGTTGAAGGATTCTGACTTGTACCTCCGGGACCGGATGAGCAGGACAGAAAACAACTTTGATTCAAGCTTCATGAGAGAATAAAGATGAATGCTCTAGAGACTCAAAATAGAGAGAGAATTGTGCCATTCATATTTTAAATTCTAGGAAATTTCTGTTTTCATTTCTACCATGATAAGAAAACTAAGTATAATCAGTCTTACATCAACACGTTGTAAGAACTTGAATTTCTTTTTACCCACTTACAGTTCATGCTGCAAATGTGCAGGTCTCAACTAAGATGACCACTTCTGCTCCTCAAATACATTATTTCATAGTATGCAGGTTGTCCTGGAACAGTTTGATCCCAAATTGTCAGTGCACCTCAAGTTCAGGATTGAGACCTCTTTTCCCAGAAGTAATCTCAGAAACGTTAAATAACGATGAGAGGCATAATAAAAAGGAACAACATACCCATCAGCATTTGACTTCCTGAGGATACAGACCGTATGAATGTTGCACAGTCAAAGAAAACTCTCAGTACTTCTTTCCCTTTCCAGTCCACATATGCTGAGTTACAATATTCCAAGAGAGTTCCTGGGTTTCAGTTCAGTCAACTCAGCTAGTTGCATGCTGGCAGAGACATTAGGAACTTCATAGCAAAAAGCACAGTTTGCCTCCAACACAGATCAACCACGTTTTCTTCACATCCCAAGGTCTGTCCAATATCGTGTGGGTTTCCAAAATTTCATGGCAGCAGTATGAATAATAAAATGGCACGATAAGCTAAGGGAAATTGTGTCCAAAGGGCATGAAACTATTCACCATGACAGATGCATTAAATAAATGGACAAAAGAATATTTTTTTCTTCTGGTAACAATAGATTTGTTTAGGTAGCAACAAGCTGTCCCACAGGCTGAATTACTTCATTCCTTTGAAAAGGATTCACAGTGTTCCAATGATGTTGAAATCTCAAATTGCAAAAAACTGATTTTTAGCTGGTGAGGTAATAGTCTTCTCTTGTTTAAAAGTAGCCAAATGACAGACTATTCTTCTGCAGGAAGAATATACTTTCTAATGCAACTTGCAAATCATGATTCTTCATAATTTTTAACTATTCAACTGGATTAGATGCAGGCTTTTGGGGGATAGGTTAATATATTTGTTTCAGTGTAATATTACAACTCTACTTTTCCAATTCAAGCCTTTCATAAAAGCCACTACTGAAATCCTACTCCGGATCTCCGTGGTATCTAAATGACTGTTTGGAGATTAAAGGGTTTCAGAAAATAGTTAAAACAATGCCTTACAAACAGACAATAACAGCAAAGTATTTTGTTTACCAACAGACAGGCAAGGAACAATTAATGGACAGAGTTTGCAAAGATGACTGAAGCAAGTCCAAAAAAATATCAAACCCAACCTGATGGGTGAAAATTGAAACTAACTTGTACTAACACCAATTATTCCATTCTAAAGACTGAACTAATAATGGAAGGTAAGTTGTTTATCTATGTTGATGTAAACATTTGAGAAAGAAAACCATGACATTTCCAGAACTAATATTCTATGCTATATTTTCATTCTTTCATACCGTAGTCAGACCATCATGCTTAATGAGCAATCCTAGAGTAAAACACAAGGTGACAGAAGACGACAGCTAAGCTCTGTTCACATAGCAGCAACATGTTCTAGCTAACACATTCCTTTGCAAAAAGCACACGTACTTCTACCATGAGGCAGGTAGTTTCAATGTTCTTAAAAAAGCAGATGGACTTGAGAAAAACCGAAGTGCCGTAGGAAATTGTAATTCATAGAAAATAGTTTTAACAGTCAACTTGGCTCAAGAGGTAGCAGTTCCGTTCTGCAGCAGCTGATGATTTTTTCAGTTGCATTTTTAAATGTGATGCAATGCATAGAAACAGTCCAATTTAGAGTTAGCAAAATTGCATGTATGGTCAAAAATGGATCATTAACCAAGAGCACTGGATGCATATTTTCCTATTTAGCCATCTATGAAAGAGGGTATTCTGTCTGTTCAGCACTGTGAAAGATTCTACTGACAATACCAGCAAGCAGATGATGAGTAAGAACTAAATCAGGATCAAAACTTACTGGATTCTGTACTGAGGGATTTTCCAGACAAAAGTGAAATGACTAATCACCAACCTCTGACTATAAGCCAAGCATGGGACCACTTGGCTATTCTCAGTTCTGTCAGCAGCAATGATGAATTTCTCCGTTTTGCTTGATTTCTTCATTCACTGAAGGACTACAGTATGTAGAATCTGTTACAGGTTGTAGTTCTGGCATAAATTATTTTCTTTGAGAGCCACTTTTCCATCAAGCAGATGAAGACTGACCTTCTAAACATTCAAACCAACTGAAACAAATGGCAAAGATTATGGAATGGTATTTCTGTACTACAGAAATGGAAAAGTTCTGAACTTCAGGGAACCAGGAAAACAACAACAAAAAAACCCAAGCCCTTCAGCCTGTTCTGATCAAAGTTTGACAAACAGTCTGCAACAGTATGCTTTCATAACTGAAATTTTGCCCTAAACTTGAAGATTGATATATTTTCTCTCTGTTCTTATCAGAGTAAAGTATAACATTATGTGTGTTCTCCACTAATCTCTCTTTAATTCTACATGCACCACAGAATAAACAGTGTGACCCCTCTGGGTGTTATCTGCTAAAATAATTTTCAAAATTGTTAAAACCAGAAAACGATATGACCATTTCTGTCACACACTACCCATATGCATGCTCCAGAAATATTATTTAGCCTGGAAAGGAAAATGTTAGAAAAGGATCTGGTTCAGGTCTATTACTAAAAATGCAGACAAAACCATTATCAGTTCTTAGAAGTCCAGAAACAACATCAACTAGTAACGATGGTGTGCCATAAAAACTCCAGTTTTGTTACAGACAACTGAGAATAGAAACCCATTTTACACGTACCTGAGAGAGTAACTCCTCTGAAGTAAAGCCTGACTAATTTCCAAGGCAATATACAATACTGATTTCTTGTTAACTATTAGTTTCCCTTTGTCAACAATTCTCAGTCAGAATTGAAAGAGTACTTTGCAACATTTAAAAAAGAAAGTATATATGCTACGTAATAGTAGATGTATACAGAAAATGCATATTTATGACCTTCCATTTTAAAAACGCTGCATTGAAGGAGCTTGGTTTTCTTCTATTAAACACATCCAGGGCATAAGACAAGTTCAGCTATTCCCCTCATTTACCAGAGAGCTTTCAATCATGCACCACAGACAAGGCTGAGAAATGTTCAATAAACCAAAACATTAGAATGGCAAACAAAACCATCTAGAAGCACCATGGCTCTCCTTTAACAGCATGAACTACCACCACACCAGAACTCATTGATTTATCAACCTAGACACAAACTGCAATGTAATCACTCAGCAGAGCAACAAAGAATAGCAGAGAAGGAAATTCAGGACTTCGTTTTCTTCCCTCAAAAAGATCAGGAGAAAAAATTCAGTTCACCAGTAAAACAGCAATTATTTTCAGATTTAAACACCTTGCTTGGTTACAGCACTGTAAACACAAGGCATTTGCTTCAAAACCTGAGGACAAAAGAAAGTTTTCATCAGCAAACCTGATGCTGTGCAGAAGTGATATATCAGCATCTATAAAGAATTTGTACCACTTTTAATTGTGTGGACTGCTATTCATTTATCTTTTTTTAGCAAGTTAAACACATTTATTAAAGGAATAGAAGGGTATAATTTATGGTCTTTGTTGCTTCTTTTAATGATGTTTCTCTACGAGACAGTAGACTTATGAATGGAATGAAATACCCTGATAGGGATCAGTGTGGACTAAAAGGCATAGGAAAACCAAAATGAATTTTCTAGGCTGCCCTTCAGAGAACTCCCGTTTTCAAGTTGAGCATTAAAGAAATGTTTTTCATACATTACTACCCTGAGTATTTCAGAGCCATCCAACAGAATTTATACTCATGTAGTAATGGAAATTTGACATAATTGAGAAACTAGGATCCAAAAAATTACAATCATTCCTGCTCTCCAGGAAGAATGAGAACTGTATGACTCCTAAAGGCCAGCAAAACCTGGGGCCTTAATGGAGCTGTCTATGAGAAGAAAAGCAGGTGATAAACCTAGAAGACAGGACACATTCTAGAATATGAGCACAGCACCTCTCCCAGGTAAGGACAGTTCTGAGCACTGTCAACATGTGCACACAGACCACATTTAAAATGTCAAACAAAAACCATGCTATATGGTCCACCAAGAACACTGAGTTTATAGTGAAATTTATTGTTCTGCTTCCTAATACAATAAGCTACAAGGTACATACAGTATAAAACGAGAACAGCCACAAAGCAAAGGTGATAAACATTCTGTGACAGTACAGTGGAGGTAATGACTGTCTAGTCCTTCCACTTTATCCCACAAACAGCAGCTAAAACTACTGGCCCTCCCCCTCCCTCCCCTCCAAAAATATTAAAAAGTAAACTGTCTCTCTCACTTAGGAGCAGTGGGATTCGTCATGTTTTTTTGAGGGCACTGGTTATCTGCCAAAATCTCAAGAAAATTACTGAAACTGAAGTAACAAAGAAAAACTGTGAAGCTGGGAGTGACATGACCCATGCAAGATGCTCATGACACCTTGGTTCACTTCTCCTCAGAGCAAACGGCCTGTAAAGAAAGGAAAAGTTTGTTACACCAAGTAAAACAGCAACCAACGTGGCCAGAGTTAAAATATAGAAAGCAAAATCTGAACTAGGCAGGACTAGATACACAGCTAAACTACTCATTTAATGAAAAGATAATCTTTCTGCTAATAAGGTTTGGAGATTGATAGCTGGCAATCCTTCTTTTATTGTTAGATGCTGTACAGGAGGGTGCACACTGACACAGGCACAGCTGACACCAGTTATACAAGGCTCCAAATCAAATAATCTTGTCTGCAAGAACTCTAACAATGACATGAACTACAACCTCAACTCTTAAAAAAACTAAAGAAAACATCAAGGCTATAAACATGAAGGAAGTCTCAATACTTACCTTAAAGGCACAAAATTCTATTTAACCACTTTTTCAAATATACTTGGTGCGGTTGAGGGCTCTCTCGGCAAGATGACCACTTTCATCTGTTATCTTCTCCCAATCTGTTTGTCCAACAACAAAGCCAATGGCCCTTTTCCTGTCTGCATCTTTCTTTTCTTCTAGATCTGCCCACCGAACCTACGGAGAACACACTATCAGTAGGACAATCTCTTAAGAAATCCTGAGACAAGTCTAGGCTTTCCACTGGAGATAAGAGTACAAGAATTCTAGTTTGTATTAATTTTAATTGAAACAGGTAAGTATTAATTTGTTTTCTGATGGGTAAAAGATGAAAACTACACCAGTTACATTATTTTTAATTGATTATCTCAGGTGTTTCTCTGAGTAGAAAAAAGGTACAGAGGATTAGCCTTTTCCATTTCAATGTTGTAATTGAGAGCTGAAGCGTAATTCCTGCAATTATTTCTCTGTTCAAAGCAATACTTGCTGCAGGAAGCATTATCAAAGATTAATTTAGTGTCTTCATTTTCTGTACAACCTTTCAGTTGCACAATGGAAACATCTAGAAGACGACTATGAAACCAGAGACAGACAGTGTTAAAGAGCAACTCAGCAATGAATGAGTGAATGAGGGACAGTTTTTTTCTTTATCTTCTGTAATACATTTCTATTTAAATCTTTCCACTATTTCTTTACGTTAAATAACTTCTTAATGCATTTGTTATCTCCTATTTTACAGCTGCAGCTATCTCATCTGTGGCTTTTCATGGTCATGCAGATCACTTGCATTCATCCTGTTTAAACATATACAGTCAGTCCCTCACCCACAAACCCAGACACCAATGGGGGGGAATGCAACAGGGAGCAGGAAGAGGGAGGTGATGATGAAGGGCTACAGTCCAAAAATTCAGCTGGAACACACCGTTGCAGGACAAGAAAAAACAGTAAGTAAAGGAGCTCTTCCCTGACATCCTAACTGATTAGTCCCGTTCAGGCTGATCTGCTACTTGGGGACATGGCCTTACCACCTTTCTGCCAGCACCTCCCTATTGCATTTTCTAGCTGTATTTCCCCAGACATTCCTACTGATAAGCAATGCCTGCTTTCTTCCATCATTGTTTTCTCTACCAACGCCTTAGTATCTCAATTTCCCTCATGCATGCTGTTTAATACTACCCACATTTTCTGTTTGACATTACAGAACAAAACAAAGCCCAAACACTGACAGTTAACTGAAATTACTTTCAGTGGCAACAGCTGGTCTTTCTATTTTGGACATGCACACACACACACAAAAGTGTTATCTCTCCCTACTAGCTCTCTTTCATCTTCTGCTATGATATTTTTGCTCTTTTTTACAATGGTATTTGAAGATGTAGCATTTTTTTTTCAGAACAGAACCACGTATAAAGTGATTGAAGCCAGCTTCTTATACACCATCTCCCAAGCTTTATGCAAGGTATATGCAGGAGGTAATGTCTGCAAGACTTAACTGATATAAAACCTACATAGCTGATACTTTCCTCAGCTGAGTCTTTTTGAGCGTAAGAACAGCAAACTGTTTCTCTGCCTACTTATTACAAAACCTAACAAAAAAATAGCTTAATAAAATCATCACCTTGTCTTGGAATTGCACTGTATATCACACTATCTCATAACAAAACATACAGCATAAGAAAAGGACTCTACGGGTTGCTCTGATACAAAGTGCATCATCTCCCCAGCAAGAAATGGGACATGAGTCCATTCTCAATTTAAAAAGCCATGCCATGCCATCTTTATTATCTACAATTCCTCACATTGCTATAATTAATCTGTTTACCTCTGGAAGATCCTACTCTCAAGAGTATTCTCTTACAGTATCTAACAGAACAACAAAATGAAAAGTGAGTTGGTGAAATTGCCACATTCACAGACACTGAAAGACTTGGTATAAACTCTTTTTCACAGAGACCATTAAATGGTCATATACAGACAGTAAATCATTTGAAAATTTATTACCCTTTTCTTTCCAGGTTCAGAAGCACGTGTATCATAGTCATCTGGAAGCTGTAGATAATCTTCCATTCTGCTGGCAATTGCTTCCCAGTCACGTTTCCTTTTAGTGCCAGTCCGCAAACCATCCAGCTTGTCTGAGAACAAACACAGAGCCTCAGAGTTAAAGGAGAATTTTTTTCTATTATTCACACAAACAAGACGAGAGTGGAAAGAATTTTCAAAAGAATGAGCAGCAGAACTTGTACATCCAGCTTGTCTTGACAGGTGGAATGATGAGAGTTGAAATAAACTAGAGAAGACTCAACACCATTTTCAAGTTTTATTGATCTTTCACATTAACTGTGTGGCAATAACACTCAGTCTTGTTATTTGTATGAGGGAGAAAAGCGTGCTCTTCTGGATGTTCATACTATATGGAGTCTGTCCTTACAGGTACAATATAGCCACCAATAGCAAGGAACCACAGATCCACCTTTCTGTATTTGAACACAATACTAAAGCTGTAGCATTTTTCCCAAATTTGGGATTTAATACTGTGTCAGACAGGGCATACATGCAGTATCAGGGAACAAGTGACGATCATGTAATTTAATGCATCAAAGACAAGTTTTTGAGATACTGTTTCTGCTAAACAAAAGCTCCTTGGAAACCCTGATCCCCCCCGCCTTTCTTTTTCTCTTCCCACAAGGAAAACACACTCAAAAAATCCTTCAGGACTGGAAAAAAAAATCCCAGAATCTTTTGTTTCATGGTGTAAGAGGTCAGTCATAAATATCTGAGCAGTACGTTTGTCCAACAGTCATAGTTTTCTTCTTTTTCTTATTGAACGGATAAGGCATGAAAAGAAACAATTCCATTCCTAGGTTCTAAAATTTTGTTCCTCTTTGGACACTTATTTTCAGTGAAAAAACACCTTCTTGGAATTATGTGGCAAACTGATTTTGGAAAGGAGATGAAGTATTCATTGTAAGATTATGAACAACAAGGCATGAAAATGAAAAACAGCTTTACAAGTCAAAGGAAATCCTAGTACTTCTGTTGATGTATGCTACCATTTTATAAGCCAACAATTCAAGTATATGCAGAAGGAATACTAAGCTTGGCAATTACAGTCTGTAAACCATTTCCAGTGATGTCAGTAACAAGTGTTTCAGAAGTCACTTCTGTAATTAAATTCACCCACAGAAGGCCTCAGAAATAAACCAAATTAAAGGCAGCATATTTTCTGAATAGCAGAAGAGTATGTTCAAAGGTATGTATCTAAAGCTCAGTTCAGAGATGAATATTTTACTTAATATGGGAAAGAAAAGAGCAACAACAGAGATAATGTGAGGCAATGGTGATGTAGACATGCTAGTATATTTCAAATGCCATAAACTAATGAAGTAATTTCTCCCTCATACAAGTCTAAAATTTTTAAAGACTCTACCCTTGCCCCATTTCCCTGGAAGAGATACAGAATTTTTCCTAAGAAAACATTTTAATCCCCCTCTGCTTTTTAAAAAAGCCAACATTTAAGAAAACCGTGCAGAACGTTTGTATCTGTTACATAGTATTTTGTTACACGATTCAGTTAAGGGTCTTCTTTTGCTCTAAGTTAAATCTGCCAATTTTGAAGCTCCACAGAAAGACGGTACTCCCTCTAGAAGACAAAATTGATTTGTACAATATTCCTCTGTTACTCCAGCACATAATGTACTTGCACTACTCCTCAGTATTACTCCCAGATCAATCAGCATAGATAATTCGTAGCATAAGGGTTTCCAGAAAAAAACACATTGAAAAAGAGAGCAACAAATGCATGTAAAAAGCATTTAGGAACATGAACTGAAAATTCAGGGGCTCTCTGTTGGCAAGTATCTGTATATTCCTGTTGGAAGGCAACATGCTACGATGAAAGCTCATCTCATTACCAACGTGGAAGAAAGAGTTCAGTCTCCCACACCCTGCTGCACATAGACCAATTGAAAACATTGCCGAGAAATGTGTTAACTCTCAATCATCAGTAGAGGAGTTCAGGAGGTGTTCAGAGTATGAGGTTCCCCTTTGTCCCTTTTTGTTACTATTACAGACAATTTATTTTAAAATGTTACCTCCTTCCATGTTTGAAGTTGGATTGCCTTTCCCAAGGGATCTGTTTCCACCCATACTATTGTGGTTCAATGTACATGTGCCATGCAGTAGACACTACAGAAATGTCAAAAGCCTACCACAAAGCATTATATCAGAATATTCTTCTTTGAAAATGAGACAAGGTGTCATTTTGTAACAATGGTGCTCATGAATATTTATGGCAGATGATTATTTAGTGTTAAACTATCAAATGTGATTTTATCATTTCTATTTGAAAAACAATGAAGCAGTATCATTTCTGAAAACCCACAGAACTGAAAAACTCACCTTTAGAATTTTAACAATAAAGCGTCTGAAAGTAACTGGCTTAATTAGCTCCTTCAAAAACTAAATTCATTAATCGGCTAAATTTTTGCCCTTCTTATACAAAAGCCACAAAGTTTTATGTAAAATGTTATTTGTGTTCGAGAGCAAATTTTACAATGGTGTCAAAACTTCAGCTATGACAGAGCTCATTTCTTCTTTCAGGAAAGTTTGTAGAACTCACCACTAAGCCGCACTTTGAAACAGTATTGCGCTAAACACTTCGAATATAATAACATTTTAAAAACGTGAGTCCATTTCTGTAAATTTAAATACAAGAACCCATGTGCACTATGCACTGAGACAGACCAGCAATTAGACTTTCGAATAAAAATGTGGCTGTGCACTCAACACATAAGGAAATGATATACCACACACATACTACTCAGAGGAATGCATCACCCCTGCCAAAGTAAATCTGAGCTAAAGCAAGAGCTCTGGGGCGAACGGTATGGTGAGTGTCACAAGTTAGCGTTGCAGCTAAAGAACTCAAACTTTTCAGACCTTTTCTGAGGCTTATTACAATCAGCAAGATCTTATTGTGCTTTCCCACAACATCACCTACTTGGAAAGAAAACAAAAGTGCAAGACGACTTACAGTGTTGGTTTTGGATTCTGCACTTAAATAATTTCTGAAAACATGTGCCCTCTGGGACTAACGCAATAAACCTAATGGGTAGGCCAGGTCCCAGGAAGTAACCCAACTTTGGAATAACAAATGCATACCACAGTTTACATGCCTTTCAGGAAATAATTTTAATTGGTCATCTACAACAAAGTCTTACCGTATACTAAAAATAATAAATCTTACTCACAGACTGCAAGTGCTTATAATGCATACCTTGAGCTAAAAGTTGTCTGCCCTTGCAGAACAATTTTTCAAAGAAAGAGCATTTGTTACCACAGGAATGCCTGGCTTTTTTAAAATGTATGTTCTGTCAGAATTTACTTTTAATCTATAGTTCTACGTATTTATAAAAATAAATCTAGAGGGTAGTTATAAAATTGAAATAATGAATACAGATTTAATAGAAAGATCATCTCAGCGCCTCTATCTGTGTCTTGCAGCATGTTAACATCCAGTCTGTTAATGGAGTTTGACTGTTATAGGATTATTGCAGCTGCCTTACAAGTAACTAGCATAAAATTGACTCTGCTGCTCGCTCCCCATTTTACATTTAAGTGAAGACCATATAAAAATCCTGTGTTTTATATCATGGAGTTTTCATATGGAAAGAAACACACAGTTCTTTGTTTCTATTTGTTAGTAGTATTTGATCACGAGAGAGGTAAATTTTGAAGGCAATATGTAAATTTCTGCTGCAGTCACAGTCTCTAAATTGCTAGAAACTACACATAAACCAAATATTTTTAGAACGCACTTTGGACTCTTGTGATATTTGTAAAATGCACAGGATGACTTAAGATTCACCGTATGCAGCACAACACAACTGTTCCTTCTATTCAGTATTTTAAGAAGTCTTGTTATTTGGAATACAACACAATGTATCAGAGCATTCTTCAACAATGCAGTCTTCCAGTACTATGATTTCATACTTAATTGGGGGAAAAAAGATCATTCTAAACTTAAGAAATTATGTTAAGATATTAAACCAATAAACTCACAACAAAAATACAGAGCAATCATGAATTAATTCTAACTGCCTAGCTGTTTGGTATGCTGGAATCATTGAGAACAAGGCTGCTCCAGTTGTACTGCAGGTGCCACAACATCAATATATTCCACAAATATTTAAATGACTTAAAAGAGAGCACAGCAGCAGAAGAGATGGTGCAACAGCAAAAGATGAAAGGTTGCTTTATGTAAGCCAGCACTTCCAATGCTATTTCTATGATGAAGTTGTGATTTTAGTTATTTGAAAGTAATGATTCACAGGACTGTACCAGACATGCAGAAGCAAACCTCAAAACATTAAGACATGCTGCATCCCATTCAGGTATCTGTTACTTCCCACAGACATAACACAAAATAGGAGTTTTATGCATATTACATTGATAAAATCCCACTTACACCCACTACCGTTAGGTAAAAAAACCCAAAACAAACCAAAACTGATCACAATGACTAGAAACCCCTTTCCATGTGTACACCTTCTACCATAACTGTGTGCATGCATTTCAGCCTGAAAGCTGCTTTTGACTTTGACTGAATTCTAATATTAGCACTTATGTCTAACAGAACCAGCAGCACTAATCAGAACAAAAACTGCAGCACAAATAGTGCCCTTGTGCTCCTGGAAAGTCCATTTTGAATCCTATGAAGAAGAATTCTAATGCACTCCTGGAACTGAAAAGCATAACCAACTTTAACTTTTCAACATCTAAGTTGTTGAAAAGATACATCGAGGCCTAATCATTCAGAACCAGCTTCAAGGCATTGCACTACTTCGTCTTCAAGCTTGTCAATTTTGGAGAGTGAGAAACATCTTCAATACAGTTAGCTACTAGGCATATCTCCAAGAAAGAAGTTACTGATGACATTTAGGCTTGGACAAAAGGTATGCAGTAGAACAAGAATGCAGCGCAATGTAAATTGACTCTTTGCTTTTTATAATACGGAAGAGATGAATAAAGAATAGAAATACTGCTTCTTTAGAATTTTAAGACAAAGTACTTCCCTTGAACAGATGGAAGAACAATTAATGAGTATATAAAACAGCGATGGCAAGAAAGCCGTTAACTCCCTTGACTCTGGCAGAAGACAAATTCCTTTTCTGTATAGATGCTTTTGCAGTTTCAGTCACGTGTATGAGATCAATACATTTATTTGTCTTTGGTAAGGAGGCACAGTAAAAACGAAAATTCAGGTTTTGCAAACATCATCAGATACCAACTATAAGAAACAGGAAAAAATAAATACCCACCTAGCTTTGCCTCAGAAGTGTCCATCTCCCATTTGCTTTTCGGAATGTAACCCTAAATCATACACAGAGAGAAGCTCGGAGGATTAGAGAGACACACACATGTACATCACTTTTGAACTGGAAACAGCATTAAAATGGGAGCTTAAGGTATTTCTTTTTGTAAGGCACAATTCTTGTTATCAGATGAATGAAACAATTTATTCAGTATTTCAGAACTTCTGCATCCACTTCCCATTCAGTGATTTTAGCAGCTCTTGCACATCATTACAAGAGTGCTGCTCTCTGCAAATACAGAACTCCAGAATGAGTCTAACAGACAGCAATGGCGCTGTGTGCACAGTCACTATTATCCCAGGTGGCAAAGTTATTGCAATACAACTTAGCAGGCATAAAGAATATTCAAAGCTTTTACAAATACAAATGAAAAAGTTACCATAGTCATAAACTTTTAAGAATATATTCCCAGATTTACTACACACAAGCTTAACAATCCTTTTGAAGGGACATACTAAATTCTCATGAGTGGTTAGTCGACAACTAAACAAAATAATTTTTAAGTTTAAATGAGAGTATCTTCTGAATCACTAAGATTTATTATTTTTCATTTTAAAATAACCCTCAGTTCAATGATTCTTTTAAAACACTTTTTTCTCTACAAATAACATCATCATACCTTTTATATGTAATGATCTTTAGCTAGTTTATTCCTTGTTAATGAGCATAATGATATTCAGTTTGGCAAAAAGGTATTTATTTTAGGTATCTTCTTGTTATCTCAATTTTATACGCTTGGACAAGCAAATCCTTACTAAGCAACCCCTTATAACTAACTTCAGGTGTTCAGACTGGGTATAAAACTACTGATGTTTCTCTGCAATCACATGAAAAGCTCAATGTAGTGAAATGGAACCCCTGGGAGAATTTCCTTATTTTAAGAATGATTTTAATAGAGAGGGAAAAGAACTATAGAAAATTTCAACACGAAAAACAAGCCATAGACCGGTTTTATTACACTAACTTTTCCCTGCTCTATTTATAGGTTGCCTCCACTGTAGTAAACATATGTGTATTTGTTAGTGCTAAAGGTTACTAAATCAGTGTACTATTCCAGAGAGCTACACTACATTTGATTATATTCAGCAATGCTCTTCCAAAATCCTTGAAATACCTTTTTTCTATCAAGCATATATCAGTGACTTGAGATTATCAGATCTCTGTATTTTATTGTTTTTAATCGCCTGTAGTTAATACAAAAACAGTTTGTGCTGCAATACTTCCTTGTAACAAGTAAATAAACTGAATGTATATATGTATTTATACTTTTAAACCAAGTTGCACATTAAAATTTGCTCAGAAAGTTTACACCACAACTAGTAGCCTGTATTGAACAAAGTGATGTGTGATACACTGGTGAGAACACTAAGTTAAATGCATCAATAATTCATACCATCAAGCACAGCAAAGCAAGAAATGTCTGAATGCTACAAACAACCCTCATGGAGTTGATAATATCAACAAAAGAGTGACTTTGATGGTGTGAAACAGCCTATTGTGTGCTGAATCTGTACAGTATCCCAGTCCTCAGATAGGATAAGAAAAGATTCAGACTTCATCCTTTGGTACAAGACAGCTGGATATGTCAAGGACATCTGCCAGATGGCAGGAGCTTCAGACCTCTCTTTTTCCACAGGATTAAATGCAGCAAAATGAATTGAAGAACCCTTACCAACTGCACTCAGGAAGGCAACAGATACCAAACACAGTGTACTGTTCCACCTTTCTGTCTGACATACCTCTCTGAGATTAGCCATGTGACTGAATAGCAGAGGTTACATACAGCAGATAATTCTTTGCTATTTTTCATCTCTTGTGAATCTGAATAGAAAACATTCTTCTATGTAAATTAGTTCTAGTTATTAATAATTTGCAGTTTTCACCACCAAGCTTTCTCCTTGTCTCATAAAGACCTATTGTTATATGTGCTATACATTAGGACACTCCCCAGAGCCCATAAACACACACATACACACATACATTTATGCACAGATGTTTCAAAAGCTAAAGACAACTTTCTCTTCTAGATACAGCTCATTTCCAAGAAATGAGACTAGCAGCCATATTCTTGTAAAGATGGATGCAACTTCGAAATGTTCTGACCACACTTTGTGCAGTCTCATACTCTGTGCCAAAGAATAATTTAGTAAAGAGAATGAGTCATGATGCAAAAAAAAAAAGATATTTATTAAAGTCCACTCTTCCTAAGCTTTATTTTTTTTAATTCTGTTTTTCAGCTGCTTTCTAAACTGCCACTCCTGAGGAATAGTATATTTCCATCAAGAAGACGGACTTTGCTCATCTCGTATGTTTTTCATTACTTCCTGTTTATTGGAGTTTAACTGCTTGGTTGTGGGAACCAGGGTTTGACACATTCAACTCATCAAGCACTGACCAGTTGCAGCTCCAACACATACCAAGAAGTTATATTAGGAAGGCTTCCATAGACTTAATACATACCTAAAAACCTTCATTTTTCCAACCTAATCCCTCATCTTGGAAATACCTACTCACAGAGTCAGTGAGCCTTGGCAGAGAAAACATTCTTCTTCGTAACTGTTGTCATATACTGTGACAGTCGAGAAGAGTTCTTTACACGTGAAAGGAAATAAGCTAAATTAATCTTTACCCATTCCTCCCAACCCTCCACTTTGTGTAATTCCTAGATAACCTGGAAGACAGCACTATAGTGTACTGCAATTTACAAATGTCTGTAAGAGGCATGTTGCCACACTCCACTGATAATGCTGTTTGTGGCATATACTCACAGATTCTTTAAAAAAAAAAAAAAAAAAGAGTTAAGAATAACATGATTTAACATTAAAGTTTTCCTAGAAATGTTTAAGGAACAAACTAGAAATGTGTGTATTAAGATCGCACTGCTAAGAATGGCAATGGGTTGGCATTTATAAGACTGAGATTCACCCTCAGAGAGATTAAGAAATATTTTGTTAGAGATGGCTGATGTGTCTCCTACCAGTTCACTTTCTTCCTCCTCTGCTGTATCCTTCTTGACTTCTTCTTTCTGGTCTTCAATATTTGCATCAAAATCCTCCATTTCCACCTGTTCCAAAGCACAAACACAGACTTACAAGGCGCTGCTTGACTTCTAAGTATTATCTTTTTAGAAGAGTAATTAGAAGATTCCAAGTTCAAATAGAAAAGGAAAGAAATGGTTCGTTTTGGAAAGTATGATGATGCAATATATATGAATACTGGCTCCATTTTGTCTTCCCTCAGAAGCAGGTTCCCTTCTAGCTACAGAGTGACAAACTGTGTGAGAAAGTACTAATCATTTATTGTATTCCTTTACATGCATCCTTTGTGCTACCAGTATCTGTAACAGTACAATACTTCTCTTGCTTCCCACACAATCACGTTTCAAAACCTGGAATCTCAGAAAAACATCTTAAACTTGCCATTTACACATCAATGGAATAGTGCTCCCCGCATAGAACATCTCTATCAGGTCTTTATCTTTTATATATTTATATATCACAGTGAAGAATAATAACCACAGAGATTAACATGATCAAGAAAATGGATGCTTTAAGACATACATCTAACCCTGCCCATCTAATGGAATACATTCTGTGGTCCACATCTCTACTGGAGATTTATACGTATACTGTGGAACACCTAAAACTCTCCAAGTTCTTCATACCGCTAAACCTTGATGCACACAGAGTAATTCCCAAATCTGCCCTTCTCTGAGCCTACATAAGAGCTGAGCTTTTTGCTGTCCTCTTAAAGATTACTATTTTCTGATAGAAAGCATTTGGAGGTTCAAAAATAACCTGCTGACTTCATGATAAACTGCACAGAGTAAACTCTCTTCCTACTACAACAGTTCACCAGTTTCTATCGTCATGGCAAGAGCTGTTCTGACTGCAACACGCAGCTATGGTACATTCACAATAACCATATAATTAATGTATTAATTTATTCCCAGAGCTCCTGAAACATCTGCCAAAGAAGAATGCAACAATACAGAAAGCTGACACACCAAAGATGCATGTCATGACAAACTGCAAATGGAATAAACAGGTAGTATACTTCTACAGCAAGCGTAATCAATCTTCTGTTACATGTTATTTAATTCTTCATTCTCTGCTAAAGGTCTGTGCTTCTCAAAGCAGGGACTGAGATGAGTTAAAATTTGTTTATTTACTTACTTATTGTATCAAACTGCTTCCTCAAATTATGATTCAATTAATCCAGTAACCTGAAAAAGCGCTGAGTTTTATCTGCAAGAGCAAAGATCCTCTTTAATTGGTACTCAACAGCTGCTAAGAGCAAAGTGGCTTCAACTCTTGCTCAAAGATGCTTAAGTCTTGGCTCCAAAAAGGTCATGAAAGGTAACACATACCTTCATGTCTGGGTAACTGATAAGACTAATGGAATACGCTTGTCTGACACAGTGACTCTGGCTTTCTACAGTGTCAAGTGTAACTGCCTGTTGTGATCATAACCTTTCCCTGCTTTGTATTTTCAGTATAGTCACATGTACTTAATTTCTAATTTTAACAAGCACAGAGATTCTCACCTCTTCGATAGCAGCATCCTGCAACAGAGAACGAATGTCCAGGCGCATCATGTGACGTGGTGCTGCCTCCCAGTGATCAGACATCTAACAAAAAAACAGAAAAAAGTGAAGCACCTCTAAAAATGTAGCAGACTCAGCAAAAAATTGGGTTTCTGATCACAAACAAGATGTATCTGTACTTAAGTAATTTCAATTCGATGAAATAACTACCAGCTTCTCTTAGAGGAAAAGTGTAATCATTATGTAGTCTAAAAGAGGTCTAGTTTTCCAACAACAGCAGGCTTGAAAGCACAATGCAACCTATCATTAATCCTATGACTCCAGATGTATACAGTTACCCTGCTGATTTCCTTTAGCTTGCGTCCATGAATATTCCTCTTGGAACATGTCTGGTTATCTGCACTCATTTCAGCTAAGTATACCTAGAAAGAGAAAGACAATATTGTAAATCAATTTTTATAGCTCTTTTTCTACCTGGTGATACACTCTGCAGTTGTACATTCCAAGAAAGGTAAATTTGTAACTATAGACCACAGCATTTTTCCTGAATGTGGGAAGGACTTTGCATTCAAAAGTTCAGAAATACCAGCATACAGATGCTAGCAAGTTCAAATGCTGTTTAGGCTCCATTACCTCAAAACCCTTGGTTTTTGCAGCGCTCCAAAACTGTTCAAAATGTCGCACTCTATCATTGATAGCATCAAGGATAATGAAGGGGAAGAAACCATCATCCAAGGTCTTCTTGAAAGTTTTAAACATGCTGGTACGATAGGTCTCTTCCATATCAGCTTCATATTCATACTCCATCACCTTTATGAAGGATAAAAACATTTAAGAAAGAGGATACCTACTAAATTGCTAATGTTCAACTGCTGAATGTCATGACCACAAAGTACACTGGTATGAGAAAAATATCATCCAGGTCAACTTTTAAGAATTTGCCCATTCTGCCCTTAAGTTATATTGACTTCTTTTGTAAAACGGCCCACAGACGTCTGCATTCTTCCTAAGCCAGACTGAAATTCTGATTGTCACTGTGCTGTTCCAGAATGTCTTGTTTCTTTGTCAAGATAAGCAACAGAATTAAAAGTACCTTCTTTTTCACTTTTTTCCCTGTATCTGGGTCTCTCTCTTCTTTTTCCACTTCAGTGATAAAATAGTCATCCAGGCTGAGCACCCTTGGTGCAGGTCCTCCACACTCTACTTCCTTATCCTGGGGAAGAAAGAAAAAGAAAACATACTTTTGCTGTAAAAATTCCATTCTGCTACAGAGGATCTTCAAAACACTTTTGGCAAACAGCAGTTCTCTGCTCTATATTTAAAACAAAAAAAGACCATAATAATAGTCTAGTTACACAACTAATAGCTAATAGTGGAGGGAATTCAGAGGCCATATGAAGACATGGAGCATGAAATAACAACAGGCTGAAATTCCTGACAAACAGAAAGAAAACAGCAGAGAAAGCTCACGTAAAAGACAAGCAGCACTACACAGCAAGTGGCTGCTTACATACCCTGATGAGCTTTGCCACGTGTGTCTTTCCACTGCCAGGCAATCCTCTCATTATGATTACAATCTGAAACAAAGATCATGTAAGAAGATAAGATACTGTACTATATTTAACAGAATCTCTTTTGCAAAAATGTTCTTCTAGAAAATTATTTGCTCTGGGCTCATACTTTTGCATATCACCAAGCAAAGCCAGTACCATGCCTCATTGCCTATTTTACAAACCAGGTTGTGAGGAATAGTAGTAGTTTCACACAGTAAGAATACATAATATTAATCACCTCAGTAGTTTACACTGTATAAGATGTTGTAGATCTGGCTCAGGTAAAAATCAACTGAATTAAACTTGTCTAAACGGTTTTTTAGCCTGGATCTTGTTCTTTCTTTATATGGTGCATTGACAAATCTCCGACTCTGTGTAGAGCTAGGTCTTTCCTCTGGTACATCAAAAACCCAAGTGAGTATCTCAAAGGAGCCTAAAACCCATTAACATTACCCATAAATAGGAATTTCATCTTAGCATTCCCAGGAAGTTTACATCTCTTGTGGACTCCTAATAGCTATGCTACAACATTCTACGCATTTGCAAAGGAACCAAGAGAATTTCCATAGCTTCCTCAAATGTAGGCTTCTTCCCCAACATATTACAGTCATGAGCATTTTATCTAAATACAGACCTCATAAAAACTGATTGTTGCTTTCAGAATACTCACCCTCTCTGGCCTGCTATCCCGTCCTGGTGGCTTCAAAATATCATCTACATTTTTAGATTCTGGCTTTCTTTCCACTCGTGGAGCAGGTGGTGGCTGACGGGGCATTGATGGAGCAGAAATAGGAATCCTTTCCTCAGGGTAATTTCTACGATCACCTTCAAATTCCAGTGTTTGGACAGAAGAATTTTCTTAGTTCAGTAAAATAAAAAAATTAAGATGTTCATACCCAGCTGAGCTGATTTAAACAGACCTGCATTATTTTAGGATAAATTCACAGTTTTGTCTGCAAAATAATTCAAATTTCTAATCTTGAACCTATTGCAATCCACGACATTTTTTAGCAGAGCATATAACTGTTGTGTTCCTCATCTCATCACCACTGAGAAATAAAACTACATGACACCGCCCAAATAAATTTTTCTGAATTATAAATTCTGAACAAAGAAATACAGCAAATCAATTGATCTGCTCATAATTAATCTTCACCTCTGCGAGACCACATTTTTCATAATATTCTAGCATGACTTCAAGATTGAGAAACTGTACCTCCAAACATGGAAGGCCCATGATCATATGCTGGACGATCTGTCTTTCGTTCATATGGTGGTCTTTCAAAACCACCTCGCCTGGAGGAGGGATGGTCTTTCTTGTCACGGTAAGACTGAGTCCTCGAAGGTGTAGTAGGAAGAACCCTGACAAAAGAGTATTTTGCGTATTTCTAGAATTTCTACTATGGATTCCAGAGAGAAATTAACATGTACACACAGACAAAATGGACAGCCTGATACTCAACACAGCCTGAACTGTATTGATTTCAATAGTGTTCCAAAACCACTCACCTATCGTCTCGGGGATGCCGCTCTTTCTCAAATCTCTCTCGTTCATAGTCCAGAGAACCACGGTCTCTGTGTAATTCCCGCTCTCTCTTGAAATCCCGATGATCTGTGTTGGAATTACCTTGACGCTCAAAATAAGGCTCACGATCTCTTTCTCTGTTGTAACGACCAGGGTGTTCTGAAAGGAGAAACCCGTGGAAATCCAAACTACTAAACATACTCTGAATTTTTTATTACTTTTGAAGGAAAAGCAAGAAACAAAAGTGCGAGAAAAGTATATAGAAACATATGATATGAGGGCTAGAATGGACTTAATCAGCCACTGAACATCGTTCCCAAACTGTAACAGACAACCATATCATGCAATCCTACCTAAAGCTACAAAACTAAATTTTTAAAGTGGCTAGGTCATGGACTGCATTACTCCTCTTGAAAATATGAACTGTTATTCTTATGGGCCTCTGAAAAAAATAAAGTGGTTCTAGCTTAAACAAAATTACATGGTTTAAAATATGTTCTTAGTACCTTATAACTTTTCTTAATAGCTAACTAACTGCCCGAGAGCTAGGCAAGCACTCCCTACCTTTTTGAAATGTTTGTCTCTCTGGTAGAGGGTCTGGACGCAGGGTTACCCTCTCCCCATATGGAATCTGTTCCACTTTACTGGTGGTTATATCTGGTTAAAAATAATAAAACATAATTAAGGTCTTAAAATACCTCTCTTCCATTTCCTTTCCTCTGTCATGAAAAGCAATTAGTCAATAGCATTAAAAGTGACTGGAATAATTTATCAAAATTTCTTTTAATGGATAATGCAAAAAGAGCTATACACAAATATATAACACCATGGTTTTAAAAGTCCAAAGCGGGTGTGTTTGTGTAAGCATGTGTACCACTTTATCTTATGAATGGGACTTCTGCCTTTCCAGATGAGTTCAGGTAGAATGCATTGTCAGATTATAAACATTAAAATACTCTGAAAGTTTCAGTAACTCATAGAACTACTGTAATGTCAATAATATTAACTGGAACACTCACTTTAGATTCCTAACAGTGACAATTTTTCTAACAGCTTTTAGTAAAACATCTACTTAATGGCATCACTATGGCTTCAATTCATGTTATGGCACCTTCAAGAGGGAAAAAATGCTCTTTAAATGACAATGCACAATTTAAGAACTTGTGACATGATTTTACTCCTGTTAAAAACAAAGAACGAGGGAAATTAATTCTATTTAAAAACTAGTCTTGAATTTTAGCTTTGATAATCTCAGTACTAAAAATCACAGCCCTTCACCATTTATGTGTTAAATGCCTGTTTAGGGCACATGCCCTTCAGAACTAGGACTCTGTCTTCCTCCCTATCTAAAGGGTACCTCACACCCATTAAGCAGTACATAAATAATGAAAACATCAGTCACATTCTGCTTTATGTTACCAAGTCAGACCTAAGAACTGTAAAAATCCAAAGTACCTTCTAGCACAGTTACTTCCATACTCAGCTACAAAGAGATTAAGGGAAAGTATCAGTATCAATCTAAATATAACACATTGATGTTACCACATCAGCTGGTGGTTATTAGAAGCAGTCATGGATATACACAATTCAGTTTACATGAAATAGCTCATTATCACAGCACTAGAGAAGCACTGGAGAAAACTCAAGGCTGTGGGTTACAGACTCCTTAAAACCGCAGTGTTTAGCATTAGATTGCAATGTATGCAGGCTACAGGCCAACTGCTGAACATCTACGGCATGCTTTGTGGGGCATGCTCCTTAAAAAAGAAGCTAAGAGGGCTAATTAGCTCTCCATTACAGATCAAGCAAATACACTGTAATACCCACCTCGCCCATGGCCATAATCCACAGTTTGCTGAATCACAGGTGCTTTAGGAACCGGTGGAATAACTGGAGGAAGGGACACTGGTACAGCTGATGGAACAGAGGTGTGAACAGCAGGTACTTTCACAGGTGAAGAGACAGGTGGAGGCATCATTGACTCCTGTTTACACAACTCGTACTCCATATTTGCTCCTTTATCCTCATTTGTGTCCCAGAGTCCGTGGAAAGAATCCTCATCCCAGCGTTCCTGTTCCACAGTAGAAGGTGATGGTTTTAAAGACTGACCATGACTTGGGGTTGTAGTTGGAGTAGAAACTGGAGCATGTGGCCTTGTCATAGGTGTAGCAGGCCTTGTCAGTGGGGCACTTGGTCTTGTCACAGGGGTGGGCTGTCTGAACAACACGGGAGGCTTTATAATAACAGCAGGAGAAGGTTTAATAGCCTGGGCTTCTACTGGTGCCTCTGAAGATAGCTGAGAAGAGACCTAGATGCAGAAAGCACTTTTAATGTAGATCTGTAAACTAACCTTCTCTCATCCTCTGTAAGTCAGTAAGCACAATGGCAATCAAATCATAAGCATTTTCTAGTACCTCCACCAAGGTGCTACACAGGGGGAGGACAGTATTTCATGAACTGGTGGCCTAAATTAATTTGGTGTTTGTTCACTATGTGAAGGTTTAAATACTATTTACTCTCTCCTTCAAAGTAACCTTACCAATTTAAGCTCCAGTAGGCCTATCTCAGTTCAAAAGTGTCTATGGTTTTATTCCCAAAGACTCCTGCTGTCTGTGAGGAGGCTGAAAAAGTCTGAAAGTAGGGCAGTTTGGTGAGGCACAAAAGGATTGATAAGGCCAGCTTCTTTCTGGAAGTCACTGGAAAAATTCCCAGAGAGCAGAAACACCTGGAAACCCCCCTAATGAAATCAGCATCAGATCAACGTTAGAAATGGGGAGGTCTTGCCCAGTGGAAAAACAAAACAGAAAGACCCCTTCATGAACCAAACATCTCCATGGAACCCCCATGTGCTGTGTTACCAGAGTCTTTTCAGCATCACAGTGGATGTCAAGTTACAGGCAACCCCATTAGCAATGTGCAACAAAACTTGCAGAATGGCTGTAGATAAAAAGCTGAACTTTGCAATAACAATTCAAAGTCAGCAGAAATCTGAAGGCAGAAAGACCAAGAAAGACAAGAGTTGTTTGGATACCTCTAGTCAGATGGGTGAAGTAGTCTGAGGTATAAAATGTCAAAGTTGAGTAAAGTAATTTCCTAAAGGCATCGACATACCTGTAGTTCTGGGTAGTAAATCTGCTCCATTATTTTACTTTACAGACACTGTAAACAAGGAAGAGGTCACCTAGGCAAAAAGAAAACTTGCAGTGCCTCATTCACTGCATAACACTTATCTGGAGGAAGGGACAAACAAAGCTTGATCTGGCTGAATCTCAGACCCAGATGTCATTATGGCTAAATTTACTGGTACCAGTAACTTTGGGGTTAAGATGTGATGAAGAATACAAAACTGTGCATTGACTCAGGTATCTCCTCCAACATACATTCAACAAAATTGTTTATTCATACTAGGAAGGATCTATAAACCTGAGTTAACATGACTTTAGAAGTTCAGCTGATTTCTGACCAGCTATGAATTATCAAAAAAACCCAACTAAAAGTAGCTGAGAAGAGTTCCCAGAACAAACCAAGAGATTAAGCAGCAGAGGAATAATGTGCATCACAACAGGAGATGAAATCACGGAGGTACACAAATGTGAGCTTCCATGCACTTTATGATATTCCAGAGGGTAATAAGAATTCCCAATAAAGACAGCAAACAGAAAGCTAACGTCTACTCTACATGAAAATATCTCAGTTTGTGATGGGCCTATCCTTAAATTTCTCTAACTTCAGAGAGGAGAGAGCTCTTAAAGTAGGAAAAGCAGAGCAAGACTCAGAACTTCGTCAAGAAATGGGAGGGCCTTCTTGTGAGCCTTATGCCCCTGTTTTGGAAGAGCTCACCTCTTCTGGCACATCATCCCATCTATGCTGTTGAACCTCATGTGCGACTGTCCCCAGTGGGTCATGCTCAGAAGACACGGTGGACTGAATGAGTAAAAAAGGCTTTAGAAATTCTAAAGAAACTAAGATTGATGAAGTTATAAGGGTTGCTGGGGAGGCACTCTACCGAAAAGTATGACCAGCAGAGTGTAGAACTGACCTGACATACACATTATTTTTTATTACTACCAGCATGTTATTAAGTTAACAGAAGATCAATTTACCTGAAAGGCACCTGGCCTTGTGCTTGTGTTCTGTGATCTTGGAGAGTCCTGCGTGGAAATGTCAGGTTTAAACTCTTTCAACTTCTGTAGCTGTTCTTTTTGCTCTCTGCACATGAATCACAATAAAGTGTTATCAGTATGTTGCTTAAATGAAAAATTAAAGAAATCAAGATCCACAGTGAAAACCACGTATTACACTAGCATCAGGGGACAAGTCGAAAGAAGAAAAGGACAGAGCAGGCTTTACATGGACAATTCTGTGACTCAGAAACCCCTGCTTCACATCCACCTAACCATGGAGGTATTTAGTGTATTAGCTGCATCCTTTTTGGATCACAAGTTTCCTGAAACATGCAGTTATGCTTTTGTGCTTGGTCAGAACCACTCCACTTTGACAATAAAGAGAAAAGCTGGATTTTTAGCTTCTGCCAACACCTTCTGCAAACAAGCAGCCCTTTGAAAACGTGTGCATAAGCACTATCAGTGACTTGCTGTGGTTCGCACGCTAACAGGATTGAGGAGAACAAAGCACAACAAAGCTTCCAATACTTAAAACCAAATGGTGCTTTCAAATTCTGTTTCCTTGTTTTATATATCAAAATGCTATTTAATATAGAAACTAATACATAGTCTATGGAACAGAGACCAGGAGCAGCAGTGAATACAACAACCACTGGATTACACATTTCTATTCAATAGGACTTCCTTTCAGTTTTTGTTAGCATTTTTAAATCTATTTTTTAAAAATTACTAATAACTCTTTGTTCATATTAATTGTGAATATTAAAGTAGTTTCCAAAGAACAACTAAGGATGGGATGCCTCTGTACTAGGCAGAGATACCATCCTGACCAGTAATGCATCTGTTCAGTGTCCAGCACAAGGGGAACTTGGCTCACAGAAAGGGATCCCAAGTGCTGCATTAGTACAAACAGTAAACTAAACAATTGCTAGCACTTACATCTTCTTTACACCTGGCTTAGGAAGAATACACCAGATGAAAAATACAGAACAGCATGCAGCTCAGCATATGCTGTTTTATACACAATAAAAGCAAAGTCAGATGAAGGCTTTACTTGAGGACGAAAGCAGGTATGCACCACACTACTGGTATAATTCTTGGCTCAAAATATAAAAAAAAAAAAAAACATACGTAGTCTCCTTAAGGTTGTTCCTACTGTTCCAACTGGGATCACCAGCTTCTAAGAATCTGATGAGAAGTACCAGTATAATTAATTTTAAGATTACCCTCATATTCAATTAAAAATCAGTATCAGCAGCATCATGTTTATATTTCCCCTTTTTTACAGGATTAGAAAGAGGTATATATATATACTTTCTTACATAAAACTTTTCAGTTCATAAGTTCAAATATTGCAGCCCTAATAAAATATTCACTTAGGTAGTGATACCCAAACTATGGTCCTTCACTTAAGTCCACTGGCTTGCAGCTACTCACATTAAACAGCAAGACATGCCTGGCAATCTGAGGCAATTGGAAGTCAGGAAGCTGAAATGACAGTTACTAACACCTAATGAATTAATCTAATTGCAGTAAAAAATTAAATTATTCAGCATAAAAGTTCTCCCTTCCTTCTTTAAAATTATTTTTCTTGTATTTTGGTGTGCAACTAAGGTCTTCCATACAGGACAGATGCTTAGCAATCTTACGCATCTGAAACCAAACTGGTTCAAGAAAAGTGTAAAACATCTCTGTTACATTAAACCATGTTGCAAGATAACATAATAATGGAAACCAAACATTAATTTTAATTGCCCATTATTTTAGCATAGTATCCTGTTTATGAAATTAAACCCTTGTATACTAGGCACCAATCCTTAGCTACCCCTCAATAACTCATGAATAGGATGAATCACATGAACCTGTAAGATGCTGCTGCTTTTCTCTACAGTATCCTCTGAAAGATCTTATTCACTGAAAATAGTCAAAGAAACTCATCTGTTTTTTTTTTTTGTTGTTTTTTTTTTTTTTTTTTTTTTTTTTTTTTTTTTATGTTTAATGCACCTAAAACCCATGCACCAAATCACAAAGACAGCATTTGGATAGATGGTATGTGCTCCATTCATTCTAATATTACTAAATTTATTGAGCCCTAAGTTGTTTTTGAGGTTTTAAAAGGATATTCTATTACTTATTTTGAGATAAATACCTATAAAAGCCTTAGGGAGACTAGTATCTGCTTTCTAAAATGTGGTCTTGGTGAAGTCTTGCATTCATATCCTCCTGATTGTAGTCACTGCTGTTATGCTGATCCTCAGAACTAAGATCAACCAAACCGGACAAAATTATGCACTGACAATGATGGATTTCAAATGAGGGAAAGAAAGAAGAAAACCCCCACATATGCTTTAATTAAAAAGTAAGCAGTATCCAAAAATTAAATAGCTCCCATTGTGTGAATTAAGAACCACATTAACGTATAACTTGACAGGTAAGTGTTAAAAAGCAATTATCAACAAGCTCATCAATTATCAATAAGCTCATCCAAGGATAACAAAAATATTAGTCAGTGATATGGACAGCTCTCTTCCTGAAAAGTAACAAACAGGGAATAGCATATTCATAGGGAAAGGGACAACCATCTATTTAAGAAAAAAGGTCCACCCACAAAAGCTGTGATGGAGATACTTCAAATAACTTGTTCCATACGAGATCCTACTATCATGCTGTGGCAAAAAGCAATTAAACCATTACTGCATAAATCAAGGAATGAATTAGGACAGGAGCACCATTTTCACTGAATGGGATTTCCACCCAAAGTGACAGAATCAGGCAACTCACCGAAGCATTTTGAGCTCCTGAGCAGCCTTCAGAATTATCTCATGCTGTCTTTGGCTAAGGACCATCACTCCTCCCAAGGACTGGTCAGAGTCCAGGTTTGAATCTGCTCCCAGCATATCAGAGGAATGTGAAGGTGGAGGAAGGGATGAATCTGAATGATCATCCAAAGACCGCAGTCTGTCTCCATCATCTGGATACCATCTATCCGATAACCGTTCCCTCTCCCAATCAGTCCTTTCAGGAAGGTAGTCTTGCTTCTCCCGCCATGTGTCATATCTCTCTGGATACTCTCGAATCCTCAACTCCCCTCTGTCTCTCAGGTCTCTGTCATAATGATCTCTGTTCCTATCCTCCCTCCACCTATCTTCACGGTATCTGTCCAGAGGTGGAAGAGGTGGTAATGGTGGTAGAGGGGGAATATCCAGGTCACGATTCCCCATTTCTCTGTCATCCATAGGTCTCATGTCCCAGTCTCTATCCCATTCTCTGTCTAAATCTTGATCATAAATATCTGATGATCTTCCAGTCCTATCTAAATCTCTTTCTAGTTCCCTCTCTCTTGGTCTTTTCCAGTCATCCCACCATGAATCTCGTCTGTCATGATCAGATGATAAAGGAGGTAACGGTGGTAGGGGAGATAATGGAGGCAATGAATGGTGAGGTTGCAACCTGTCATCTCTGTCATACGCATCTACAGAATCATCCTGATAATCAGAGTTGTGATCTCTCCAGTATCGTTCCCTCTCCCAGTCATCCAATCGCTCATGCTCCAACGAAGGGTCATCTTGACTATCTAAAGGAAATTCCTCCTGCATTCTGTCATCTTCATGACCCCAAGAACCCTGAGTGTCTCATCTCGATGGTATGGAGGCAATTTGTCAGGGTCATCTCCTAGGTGAATGGGTTTATCTATACTACCCGTTTCAGATCTTCCTGCTTCCCCCTCACGGCTACCTGGCCTCCTGATGGGACCCCTCTCCCGGCTACCTGCCCGCCTGACCGGGCCCCTCTCCCGGCTACCTGCCCGCCTGACCGGGCCCCTCTCCCGGCTACCTGCCCGCCTGACCGGGCCCCTCTCCCGGCTACCTGCCCGCCGCATGGGCTCCCTCTCCCGGCTACCCGCCTGCCGCATGGGCTCCCTCTCCCGGCTACCCGCCCGCCTGATCGGGCCTCTCTCCCGGCTACCTGCCCGTCCCCTGTCCCGGCTGCCTGTCCGCCCACCTAGCTCTCTGTCTCGGCTAGAGAATACCCTCTCATGGCTATCTGACCGCCCACCCAGTCCCCTCTCTCGGCTGCCAGATCGTCCATCTGGCATCCTCTCCCTGCTGCCTGACCGCCTATCTGTCATCCTCTCCCTGCTGCCTGCCCTCCTGAACATCCCCCTGCCGCGGATGGATGCCTGCCTAGCCTGCCCTCTGCCTCGGTATACATATCCTCTGCCACGGCCTTCGTCCATCCTGCCCATTCCCCGGCCATGGCCATCGTCCATCCTGCCCATTCCCCAACCACCATCCATCCTTCCCATCCCCCGGCCACCATCCATCCTTCCCATCCCTCGACCACCGTCCATCCTTCCCATTCCCCGGCCACGGCCCATTCCCCAGCCACGGCCATCCCCCTGCCCTCTGCCACGGCCATCATCCAGTCTGCCCTGGCCCCTTCCTCTGCCTACCGGCCCCTTGCCTCTATCTTCATGCATAAATGGCCCTTTCCCTCTGCCTTCTGATCCAGGTAGGCCCTGAGTGCTATCTGAAGCGATCAACTGGCCATCTGGGGAATCTAAATCCTGATTTCCGGTTACAGGGGTTACTGCACCTCCTGCTCTTGCAATACCTGACTGCAAAGCTACAGGGTTACTAGAAAGGGTTGTTGATTTCTGGTTCTGAATGGGGGGAGTAGATGCTTTGGACTCCTCTACTTGCTGGTTAGGATCATGTGAACTCCATGTCCACTTTTTAGGAGGGTCTGAAATAGTTTCTTTGACTTCAGGTTTGGATGGTTCCTGTTGAGTGTTTGCCATGTCCTCATTTGGCTCAATGGGACCCGCACTCTGTGCATCAGGAGTCGACTGTGTTCTACTTACAGTCTGCTGATTGCCAGCTACGTCTGTAAAAGGTTCTTTATTTTCTGACTGTGAGTCTGTCTGTGACTGCTGCTGCTGTCCCAAATGAGGCCTGGGCCCCCTCCACCGAGGACCACTAGGTCGGGAACCATGTCCGTGTGATGTATTTGTCGAAGTATAAAATTGTGATGCTGGTCCTCGTGGAATAGTCCCCCATCTACTTGAAGACTGTCCATCTGTATTCTGTCGGTCAAAACGTGACCTGTATCCTTCTGAGCGCTGGGAGTCAAAACGAGGTCCTCTCTGTCTTGAGCCTTCAAATTTGTCATATCCTCTTCCTCGAGGTCCATCAAATCTATAGATGACATAATGGCAATTTTATTCAAATGAACATGTCAAACAAATTCTCTAAAAGAGTTTCATCCCTCCCAAAAGTCACTTCTAACTGATAAATCCTAGTGTGATCAATTCCTACTGAACCCGTGTAGAAGCAGAGAGGCATATTCTTCAATGCAGTATTGTCCGCTGAAGACCAGTTTAAGCCACTTGACAATTATGTAATGCTAAAAGGAAATTTGCCTTAATTATCTCAGGACTGAAACCTGACTGACAAAGCAAGCTGGCAAACTAATTTGAAAAAAAGCTTTCAACTTTTGTTTAATGGAAGTTTTGTTGCAATCAACAACTCTTGCTGAACTTCTGTTTTGATAGTATGCAACAAGCCTACTTAACTATGGTGATGAATGCCATAGCTAGAAAAATCTTTAAATACAGATCCTTTCAGAAAGTGCAATAGACTCTGATATTCCCCAGTTCCATGCAAGATAATATGCCTAAACCAAATATACGTCTATTGATTCACTTCCTTTTGAGAGCACCTAAAACTGCTATTGCTTGAATATAAGGAAATAGGTCATGTAAACTAATAAAGAATAATTCATGCAAGCGTATTTAACAAGGCCGATCTAGTAAAAAATCCAGTCTTTAAGGATATGTTAAAATATTGATTTACATAACAGACTAGAAAAAAAATCAAATTAATTTTACACAAAATATAGAACTCATGCCTGAAGTCAAACTGCTTGGATGTCTGGGATTCACAGTTGTGTCTCACTGGATGGGGTCAGGAAGGCCAAAGCATGGCTGGAGCTGAACTGGGCAAGGGATGCAAAGAGTAATAAGAAGAGCTGCTCTAAGTATGTTAGTCAGAAAAGAAAGGTCAAAGAAAGCCTACTCACCCCAATGAACATGACTGGCAAACTTGCAACAATGGACAAGAAGGCTGAGATACTGAACTTTTTTTCCTCAGTTTTCACGGGTAACCTCTCTTCCCACACCTCTGAAGTGACTGGACCACAAGACAGGGACTGCGGGAGCAAATCCTTTCTCACTGTAAGAAGATCAGGTTCATGCCCACTTGAGGAACCTGAATATACATAAGTCTATGGGACCTGACAAGATGCATCCCAGAGTCCCAAGGGAATTGGCTTATGTGGTTGCCACACCACTCTCCATGATTTTTGAGAAGTCATAGCAGTCAGCTGAAGTCCCTGAGGACTGGAAAAAGGAAAACATTGTACCCATTTTCAAAAAGGGTAGAAAGGAGGACCCTGAGAATGACCAATCTGTCAGCCTCACCTCTGTGTCTGGGGAATATCACAGAACAGTCCTTCTAGCAGCTACCCTAAGGCACATAGAGGACATGGAGGGGAGTCAAGACAGCCAGCATGGCTTCACCATGGGCAAGTCTTGCTTGACTCATCTAGTGGCCTTCTATGATGAAGTCACTACGTCAGTGGACAAGAGAAGAGCTATGGATGTCATCTTTCTGGACATCTGTAAGGCCACAGTTGTCCACAACATCCTTCTCTCTAAATTGGAGAGATATGGATTTGATGGATGGAACTGTTCAGTGGATGAGGAATTGGCTGGATGGTCACATCTAGATGGTAGTGGTCAACGGCTCATGTCCAGACAGCAATTGGTGACAAGTGGTGTCCTGCAGGGGTCTGTACTGGGACCAGTAGTGTTCAATACCTTCATCAATGACACAGTGGGATTGAGTGCACCCTCAGAAAGTTTGCAGACAACACTAAGCTGAGTGGTGTGGTTGACACACCTGAGGGATGGGATGCCATCCAGAGGGACCTGGACAAGCTCAAGAAGTGAGCCCATGTGAACTTCATGAGGTTCAACAAGGCCAAGTGCAAAGTTCTGCATCTGAGTTGGGGCAACCCCCAGTATCAATAGAGGCTGTGGGATGAAGGGATTGAGAGCAGACCTGCAGAGAAGGATTTGGGGGTACTGGTGGATGAAAAGCTGGACTTGAGCCAACAATGCACTCGCAGCCCAGAAAGCCAACTGTATCCTGGGCTGCATAAAAAGAAGTGTGGCCAGCAGGTTGAGGGAGGTGATTCTGCTCCTCTGCTCTGCTCTCACGAGACTCCACCTGGAACACTGTGTCCAGCACTGGAGTCCTCAGCACAGGAAAGACATGGACCTGTTGGACTGAGTCCAGAGGAGGGTCACAAAAATAATCAGAGGGCTGTTGCACCTCTCCTATGAGGAAGGACTGAAAGAGTTGGAGTTGTTCAGCCTGGAGAAGAGAAGGCTTCAGGAAGACATTACTGCAAGCTTTTAATACTTAAAGGGGCTTGTAAGAAAGATGAGGAGAGACTTCTTAATAAGGCCTGTTGTGATACAAGGGGTAATGGTACTAAACTAAAAGAGGGTAGATTTAGACTAGATATAATACATTTTTTACAAGGAGGGTGGTGCAACACTGCAACAGGTTGCCCAGAGAGGTGGTAGATGCTCCACCCCCGGCAACACTCAAGGTCAGGTTGGACTGGGCTCTGAGCAACCAGATCTAGTTGAAGATGAGTGTGCTAATTGCAGGGGGGTTGGACTAGATGACCTTTAAAGGTCCCTTCCAACTCAAACTATTCTATGATTCTATGGATACTAATTCATTACCGCCTAGTTACCAACAACAGTTGACTTGTTGCAGAATTTACTGTTTTTGGTGAGCAATTTATCAAACAAGATGATTTATACAACCTCAAAGAATTTTAATAATCCTGATATGTTAACACAGTAAACTGCCTTTTTTGGGGATAGGACAGGTCAAGATGAACAGGAGGAAGAAAAAAAGAAGAAATTACAAAGCACAGTGGCAAAGCAACTTAGATATGAAGGATCAACTTTGACATGGAAGGTATAGCTAGAAGGTTAGATACTGTAGACACACTTTATCCCAAAATTCTGGAAATTAGTTTAAGCCAGTTCTTTAGAGTTTCTTGTGAAAAGTTAATTGCTGAAAAGAGGTGAAGGGGGTCTGTGTGTCTTTTTATATGTCTAGTCATTACCTGGGACTTTTAACTGGGATAGCAGCACATAATACACATTTTTAATTTATCCCAAGTTCAGTTAAAAAATTATTAGGAGTCTCTTTTCTACTAATTAAATTGAGAAGAAACAGTGAACAGATTTTTGGGAAAACTTTGATAAAACCCTAGAATGCTCATGAAATCACAATACTGAAAAGCACAAAGGTTACAGTGTTCAAAACTAGAGCTCCTGTATATGTACATTCTAGAAATTTTTGATTATCCATAGCCTATCATTGCACATCACTCAGCTCTAAACCAATGCACATAGAGGACATGCACTAGCAAATAATGAAAACAGTCTGTTCAACACTGTACATCCAACAAACCCCCAGAAGCAGAAACAATACTTTTCAAAAACCATCAGGAGGTAGAAAATTATTCAAAGTTATAAAAAATTAATTTACATTGCCAGCAATTAATGAATTATTATTCATGAATGATCCCTTTGGAAGCAAAAAGAAGGGAAATAAACATGAAGATATGATTGTAAAGTTTAGCAGAGTATGCCAGGATAGAAATAATTGAATAAACCAACACTGTTCTTTGATTCAGTAGGCATAACATCAACCTGTTTTGAACTAAAGATCAGACAGAACAGATGTTGTTTTTGAAACTTGATATCATGTCAAGTATGAAAGAAAAACATTCCAAAAACAAGACCTTGGATTAAGCCATACGGCAGGCATAAAACCACATGTAAGACACAGAACACTGGCTTTTAGAGTAGCTTTACATTAAGGCAACAGGCCATCCACCTGATAAAATGAAGACTTAAATTTGAACGAAACTATCTTACCAAAAATAAAGACAGCAACCTTCAAAATCAAGACCATCATTGTATAATACAAAAGGAAAAGTGGCAAAGAATCCTAATGCTAAGATCCTAGAGCTCAAATCTTAAGTTCTTTCCTTCTCTCTCTTGCTTATAATTGTCTGAATGGTAAGTAATACTGAATGTGTAGAAAACCACTGGTTTGTACTAAAGACAAGCACCATCTCTCATCAAACAGCCATTTCGGAAAGCGCACTGAATAAGACAACCATATAGTGGCAGAACTCTCTCACACTAGATGTACTGGCGAACAGCTTTTAATTTTAATTTCTTTCTGCAATAAATGTTGGATTACAAAGAGTACTTTTTATTGTTTCTAAAAAATAAATAGCATCTAAATTGCCATTAATTAACTATGTTAGTATATTCAACTGAATATGTATCTGAATACTTTCCTGAATCCCTTCCAGAATGCCTACATTAAAGTGCTACCACATATAGCAACACCTTAAAAACAATTCTTCAACATTTTTGCTTTAGATTTTTCTAAATTGTGTTCCAAGTACCACAGACAAAATGCTGGGAATTTAGATCACTTTTCATATAGAATCACTACTTCAGGTGTGAGTAATCATCTTCAAACTAAGGACAGCAAAGATATCAAATATTTACAACAGCTTTCCTATTTTCGCAAAAGGAACATTATGTCTCTGGGAATGAAAAGGGTGAAGTGTGTCCAAGCATTTTACTAGAAAAAAAGGCATTCTACTCTAGGTAATGCTCAGGTGAAAGCTGTCTATCTATCCTTGCTTTAATAAGATAAGTATAAAGCATGGTGTACATACATTAAAAACAAAACCTCCATCAAACAAGCACACTTCAGACGACCTCAGAAAGATTTGAGAGTAAGACATATGCTTCAGTCCTTAATATATCACTGAAAATCTTATAGCCTGGAACACGTATAAATCAACAAAAACATCCTTACCTAGGGCCTCTGGGGCCTTCAAAACGTGCTGATCTGGGAGGATCTGGAAGCAATCCACCCGACCCTTACTGGTTTATCTGGCATGTTAGGTGCATGTGTTGAAGACACTGCAGAAGTGGCTTTCAGTTCCCCACATCCTTGCTCAGACGAAATAGAGACAGTTTGTTTACTAAGATGAACTTGAGACTTTCCGTGGTCTGAAGAGCCAAAGGATGAACTTACTTGAGAATGATACGGTGAATAGACAGTTGAACTAGCTATTTTTGATGCATAGGTACCAGGGGTGGGAAGCAGAGCTGGCCTTGGTGTCTCAGTAGATTGACTGCTTTGGGAACTGGATCCTGAAGGAACAGAGGAATTAGATAACTGAGAAACAGAAGAGAGAGGTGGGGGGACCAGCGGAGGCGTAGTTGAAGGTAAAGTTGGAGGCATGAGAGGAATGCCACCTTGAGTGGTTTGAGAATATGGAACAAATGGCGGTGGCAGCGAAACATTTGCAGGATACTGATTCTTCAGATTTTGGAGTGAGGTCACTTTCTCCTGCAGATGGGACTGAGTGACCTTCATCTGTTCATCCCATGCTTTCCACTGTTTCTCATACTCTTGAAGCTGGTCTTTGTGAGGGTAGGTTTGAAGTTGATGCTGCCACTGTTGGTTCATTGATCTCTCCAATCTTTATGAAGCTGCTGGAACTGTTTTTGCTGTGCCTCATAATGTCGCAGCTGCATGTCCACCGACATTGTCTGCAATAAGAAGTCAAGAATAGCTTCAAAATACCATCTTAGTTATTTTCAGAGCCAAGTATTTCAGTACCATTTTCAATATTACAATTTCTGGCTTGGGCAGAAGCTTGAGGAAGAACTACACTGAAACAAAAGCAAACATGAACTGCGATGTCTAAACTCATTATGAAGATTTACACATTTTATGACTAGAGAACATTTATGTATAAAGGCGCTTTATTTTTTTCCCCATTTTTGTACTACACAATATTGTAAAAAAGAGCAGCTAGCAAATTACTCCATGGAATCATCTGTTTACCTGACTTTTCTTCTGAACTGTTTCTCCAGCAGTAAAACATTCAAAGCTGAGTAAATTCAATACTGTTTTCAGCTTTGCTCCTCTATCACCCAGGTATATCTGAAAAATCTTATGACAACTGTAAAGTCTTGTATTTCTCATCCTACTGAAGCTTTGTTACCATCTGTCAATTCTTTTTTCATTCTGAAGTTGAGTGACAATAGGAAAAGGGGATATAGACTTCTACTCAAGCAGAAAAAGTAGCTAGACAAATAAGCCAACCATGGCAAATTATTCAGCTACTTGTTTTTCAGCAGACCATGAGTGCTAGGTCACCCAGGAAGTATATCAAACACCACCTCCTTAGTGTTTCACCTGTAAGTGTGGAGGCTGTTGCATGATCTGTTGATACTGCTGTACTATCTGCTGCAGCTGGGCATGCTTCTGCATTATTCTCTGATACTGAAATCCAACCCGGTGATGGGGATGCTGCTGCCATTGAGCAGCTGCTGCTTGCAATTGCTGCAATCTCAAATCTTCCTCAGGGTCATCAGGAGGTTCAATATTGAGCTAGAGAAAAAGGCAAATACTATAAATAAAGGAAAGCTCGTTCTGTCAGAAGAAAAATACACTTGGTCACTACCTAGTTTACAGGAACTTTCTCAGTGTTTCTTATTTTATTGCTCTGTATTTCAGTGTTCTGGCCACCCACAGCTTCTGGAAGGCTGATTTTTATTTCATTTTACTCTTAATATGAATAGTCTGATCTAAATGTTAGGCTGATGGTAATTAGGGTATTCACATGTACAGAGACGACCTACAGGGAAGAGATTAACATAGATCTGGTGCTCACAGCAAATATAATGAGACAACAGTGCTTTTTCATGATGAGGTAAAGTAACTCTGAGTGCATTATTTTTGCCACTTTGTAGGAACCTACACACTGTAAATTGAAGTGGAACACATGGTGCAGGGTAATCTACTACCCTACAGTAATCTTGAAACATCAAGCATGACCTCCATCTATTATGTAGTAACTGTTATTAAGCATGCTGAAATAAATATTCTGTGCAAAGTTCTTGGCTTTCAGACAAACTGTAACACACTGAGAAGAAGGGGAGCCAGAATTGACAAACTGCCAGAGAAGAAATAAGAGTGTCTTAACGATAGCATTCCTTATCTGCAGAGTACTTGATTGTGCATTTAGGTATCACAGAGTGTTTCTCACAAAGATTATGACATTGGGGAAGGTGCAAGCAAGTCAAGTTTGGACTTGCCTGGTCCATGTGCGGGTGACTATATAAGTCTATAGACAAGAAGTGCATTTTTATTTTTTTAATTGGTGCAGCCTTAGAAAATGTTCTTTTAAAATTGCTTTATCATATTCAGGTATTGTTACACTGTATACATGACAATTTGATGGCATTATTTTCCTGTTTCTTTGTCCATGTGTGGGTGACTATATAAGTCTATAGACAAGAAGTGTATTTTTATTTTTTTAATTGGTGCAGCCTTAGAAAATGTTCTTTTAAAATTGCTTTATCATATTCAGGTATTGTTATGCTGTATACATGACAATTTGATGGCATTATTTTCCTGTTTCTTTGTCCCATCTAGCACAACAAATGGAATGGCATCACTTTACAAAGCCTACCTGAGTTTCAGTGGATGCAAGAGAAGACTCCTCGTCTTTGGAAGCTGGAGGCAGGGATTCATTAAGTGGAGGTGGTTCAGACTGCTGAGTTGAAGCACTCATTTTCCCTTCTTCAGTCTTTGCTCTCTGCTCAGATGCATCCTTCACTACCGGACCCTTTAATTTGCTGCTGGCCCTGAGCATGGGCTTTTGCTCTTTGCTGAAGGCTAAGCAGGTGCTGCTGGTACCAGTACTGCTGCTGTTCCTACAATAGACAGAAATTTCTAAGAGAGCTTTCATGGGAAAACCCATGAAAATTAACTCATGATAGTCACCAGAAACATACTCTAGAAAAGGTCTTACATCTGTTTTGAGGGAAAACACACTTCATCATCAACAGTATTGCAACGGATTGAAGATCAAATCAAAATTCAGAAACCACTATGTGAGGCATAGTACCTGCAACATAATTTATTTCCTGCTTATAACTAAAGAGAACAATAACAAAAAGCAGAAAGATGGCCAGTAATAAGCCAAATTACTAGAGGCATGTGATAAGTACCATACTTATTATTTTTAGTGCTTTTTATTCCTAACTATAGGTACTTATTATGAGACTAAAGTAAAATGAAGTGAAAATGGAGAACAAGTATGAGTAAGGGAGTAGTGAAGAGAAAAAGGAGGAAATGTACAAAAAAGATGAAGAGAACACAGACATCGAGTGAAAATGACAGCTGAGAAATTATGGTGAAGATGTTTGAATAAAGCTGTGGAAAGGAAAAAGAACAACCAAAACCAACATATAGTGAGGATTATTTATCATGTGAATTCTCATTCATTAATTCTGATTCATTCAACAGTTGAAGAGGTAAATAGATATGGCTGCACCCAAATAATTATCCATTTAATAAGAAGCAATCGAGCTTTCAGTTTTAAATATTTCAGGCTAGAATTATCTGGGCAGATGACAGTAGCTTCAAAGCACTGTAAACTGCCACCAACACAAAGAACAAAAGACTAAAGATAAGTATCTCAACATTCAAGTAGCGGTTCATCTTAGAGACATCTGAATAGGAACCAACAGTTCTATATCTCTTCCAATACAAGGAAATATCAGGCATCAAATCAGACTAGCAGGACACAGATTTAAAACATGTGGGAGGCAGCTCTTCACCCGACATTTGGTAGCCTTGTGCTACCAAAGTCCCTGCCACAGACCACTGCAAGAGCTAAAATTTTGTGGATTCAGGACACAGCTCCATAAGCTCATAGAAGACAAATCTACTGGTTTTGAAAATAAAGACACCGGTTGCAGCTAAGGCCCCTCCTATACTTTAGGGAAGTACTGTCATGCACTTGATTTTCAAGTTATTCTCCTGGCATCTGCTTTTAATCACTGTCAAATACAGAATTATAAAACACTGTACTTAGGTCTGACCTAGCGCAACCATTCTTGTGCTCTCACGTCAACTCCACCACCTCTCTAAATCTGACTGCTGTACATCTTTCATATCCTCTATTCTTCCCTTCCATCCAAGCATGCGCAGTTAAGAAAAGACACCTATATAAAGCCCACTCAGAAACAAAAAAGAATCCAAAAGATGAAGGTATTTTAAAATATAAGTGTGACAACAACAAAGTGCTAGCTGCTGTCTGATGAGATCTCTCAAAACTGAATCATTCTATCTTAAAACAGCTTTAAAAGAAGTGCAAGCTTCCACCAAAAGCCTACCTCACGCTCAAATCAGGCACGATGTTTTCTATTGGTAGCAATCTAGCAGATACAATTAAATATGGAGCTGTATTTTTAAAAAAATACTTCTGTACAACTGTAACTTTAAGATGAGGTCAATGAAAGGAGAGGCTATGCTTCTTAGACTTTATGTTGATTCTGCAATAACTTCTGCCAAGAATATTTTTAACAAGAATATGACTCAGAAGAGCTGTCACGGCTTTGGGTGGAAGATGTGCATTCATGCTCCAGCATGGACTCCTTCAATAACATGCTGTAATAAGTGCAACTCTCAACACCGAGGAGAAGACTACATCCTCAGCTATACAAAAGCTGATTCCGTTATCCGTCTTAAAAGGCATTATAAGGTGATTTACCATGACAGTGCTGCATGCTATGCCTGGCAAGCATCTGTTTTGCTGCCACTAAATTGTTGTCTCCATGGATCCATTTTGTTTCCTCCTCATTATTATACCAATTGGACAAGCGGCTAAAACTCATAATATGACCAGGGTTCACACAAAGAGCTATGATAATATCCCATCACCTATTTTCTGCAGCAGATGAAGTCAGTGACACACATATTGCAGGTTCTATCTGAAAACCATGAGAAAAGTGGGAAGGTAGATTTCTACAGCTTCCTCTGAGCAAAACAGAAGTGCTTGTGTAGAAGATTCATGATGGCAAAAAGTTCAGTTAGAGTGCTTATCTCCTCGCAATGACTGTCATTCTTCACGTCCAGTTACAACCCTTAAGCCCAAGGACTACACCAACATCAACATATACCTTCTTCCATCTTTGGCTGACCAAGAGACTACAACCGTTGCATTGTACAGGGAACACTGAAACTAGCACTACCAGATCCTGACCACAGGACACACCACCAAAAATGTTAATGCAGATTATATGCCAAAAGACTACTTCAAATGAATTTAGGTGACTCTAGGCCATAACATAAAGCCTATTTTGGGAGACACTCAGTTCTTTTCTGGTAAAGACTGCAAAACAATGGTTTAGCACCCTTTATAAAACAAAGGGGGGATTTTAAAGAGTGCAGCAGCCTGCTGGAAAGTGACATGGTAAAGCTAAGGCAGCTCTAACAGATGTAGATAAATGCATATTTATCAGTACAGATGCACCCACACATATTTGTTTACTACTGCAAATAAATAGCAGCATACAGTACCCAAATATCAGGTGGCACATTAATGAAATGCCAGAGGTGTTTTAACGGAACTTGACAAAAGATTTATCTCATTGTAGAGAAACACAACAATCCAGCAATTTAATCCAACTGTACACCCACGTAAGAAACTATGCTAAACTCACTATATTGTCAAGGCAAAGAGTGGTATCTTATTTTTAGACAGGAAAGGGAAATAATAAAACACTAACTCATGTCAAATCGCATAATATTTCTATTTTAAGGGAAAAACACTGATCTATTTGGCTGCAGCCACTGATAGTGTGGGATGAGAACAGAAAGAATTACTTTCATTTACCGATTTAAACAAAGGCTTAATAGGATCTTATTAATGACAAAGGATAGTATTTCTCCACTCAGCTTTTAAGATCATTAGCAAGAAAGCATCACTAGCTCCGCTTTTCCTATTCCTATTGTGTAAGGACTTGTTGCTCTAAATCCTGTCTCATTTTACAGCCTAAGATAGCCAAAATTGTATCTATCTTTTATAACAAATTTATGACCAAAGTACCATATTCCTTTTGAATTAACACTGAATTGTGCATGACAGTAAACAAACTACTCAAGATAGAAGTTGTTTGTGTAAACACTCATAAAGCAGACAATGTAAACTTCAGGAGCATTCCATTTCCATGTGTGTGCCACAATAATGCATTACTTGTGACTCTTATGGATAGGAAAGAGTGGTTGGGGAACAATTAAATAACATTAATGAAATTTCAGGCTACATAAGGGAGAAGGAATTATAGTTTACTGTTTGATCTCGAGTTCAATAATTTAAGAAGTTGGCAAGCAGCCTCAATACCAAATTAACATCACTTTCTACACCTGATTTTTCAAGGTTTTGGTTTTGTCATTCAAAAAATTAGCAAGGCCCATTGCTATCACTGTAAAAGATCAACTAGTACCGTCCAAAACCTTTGTAGAATTAAATTCATGAACTGAAAGCACCACTTTGCTAAGCAGTGATTAGTTATATGGTGAAAACTTAAAAATTATACATTCCCAAATATATTCAGGTATTGTTATGAAATTTTAATGGATACGAGTAAAAACTTGTCCCAACAATTAACAAATTTAACGTGTCAGTGACTTTAATACAATACACCACGATTTTTGCAAACTTGGTTTCAAATCAGCAACCTAAGATGAATTTGCCAAAAATAGATGTATTTTTAAATTTAAGTAAGTATAAAGCATACACTTCAGCTTTGTTCTTGCAGCTGGATCTCTACAAGCCAACCCTAAAACCATGCAAAGGCTTCAGGGAATCTGACTGACCTGGCACATACACAGCTGAGTACCTCAACATACATGTATCTTTGTGCATGCTTAACCTCAAGCAACTGGATTGTCCCTAACTTAATGTGTATGAACAGTCACATCAAGTCCACTGGAACTTCTCACATTTATAAAGTAAAGCATGTAGATATTTTGCAGGCATTTTGGCCCTTGTGTACCACATAGCATTAACAATATTTTTCACCTCAGAAGCACTTCAGAACATTTCCCTCCAATGCTCCATGCAATTTTATACTGCAGGATCAAGCATGTGTAGCACAAAAGGTGTAAGTCTAAAGGGCAACTATGCATTACAAACAGAAACACTTCTGCAGCTTTAACTATGTGTGGTAAGATTAAAATAGTCACAATTCTACACATATCAGACAGACAGTTGAAACATGATGCCATGAGAAATCTAAATGAATAAATCGCTGAAGACAAAAGATGCAACACACAAGAAGCAAACAGACTGTTGTATCTCACAACAGGCCGGACAAAGTCAACAGAAGTTCGGTGCAGGTTGCCCACATGCTGTACTCTGGAAAACAATTGTCCGGAGACCAGCAAATCCCCCCAAGAAAGTTAAATTCAGCTGGGCGCTAGACTTTTCCCTAAACAACTCATTTGTTCCTGAAAGACGATGATCTGTCACATCCCAACAACCACCATTGGATAAAGAAACATTTACGGCACCTCACCCGAGCCGTGCCATTCCCGGGCTTCCAAGGGTGGCGTCCAAACCTTTCAGTATTATGCAAATACGGTGTGTCTATCAACTGCCCTTACTCAGAGACCTTCTCAACACCCCGTGCAGCCGCAGGAGCCGGTGCGGAGGTGGCACTGCCTTACCTGGGGAGTCATGGTGGAGGGGTCCGGCTGCTCGGTGCCGCTGGCCTCCTTGGTGGCACTCGGTGTGGCCTCCGGCTGGGCAGCAGCGGGCAGGGGCAAGGCCGGCTGGGGCGGGGGGAAATGGGCCTGCGATGGCTTGGCAGGGGGAGGGATGGCGGGGGCCAGGCCGGGCTGGGCTGGCTGGGAAGGGGAGGCCTGGGAGGGCAGCAGGTAGGGCTGCGGGTGCGCCATGTAGCCCTGGGCAGGAGGCGGCAGGTAGGGCTGGGAGGCGGTGGCCGGCGGGGGCTCCAGGTAGGAGGGCGGCGGCTCGGAGAAGGAGGGGGGAGGCTGGGCGGCCTGCGCCCGGGGCAGGTAGGGCTGGAGCGGCGGGGACTGGGCCGGGGGCGGCTGGGCGGGGGGCAGGTACGGCTCCGCCTGGGGGGGCGGCAGGTAGGCCTGGGCGGGGGGCAAGTAGGCCTGGGCGGCGGGCTGCGGGGACTGCGGCGGCGAGGACAGCTCCATGTCCATAGGCACCGGCGAGGACGGCACCGGCTCGCCCCAGTCGCCATGCCCGCCCGGCGGCTCCTGGCCGTCACGCTCCCGGGCGGCGGCGGGCGGCTTGCGGGTGGTCGTCGTCGTCGGGTCGCGGTGGGCGAACTGCTTCTGGTAGCTGCGGACGGGCGGCGGCACCGGCGGCGGCGGCTGCTGCCAGTCGGCGAAGGAGCCGGGCAGCGGCGGCGGCGGCAGCCCCGGAGGGGGCGGCCCCGGCGGCGGCGGCGGCCCCAGCAGCACGGACTGCAGCTGCTTCTGGTGCATCTGCTGGAGCTGCTGCAGCTGCGCCAGGTGCTGCTCCTGCAGGCTCAGGAACCCCGAGGTACCGGCGGGCGGCGGCGGGGCGGCGGCGGCGGCGGGGGGCGCGGGGCCCGGCGGCGGGTAGCTGGGCAGCGGCATCGGCGGGACGGCGGGCGGAGGCACGTTGGGGGGAGGGATGGGCAGCGGCGGGGGCGGGATGGAGGTGGGCGGCGGCGGGTAGTGCCCCGCCGCCCCGTACAAGCCCCAGGCCGGGTACATGGCGGGGCCGCGGCGGAGGGAGCGGAGCGCGGCTCTTCCACAGGCCGCGGCGGCGGCGCGTGCGGCCTACGGCGCCTGCGCGGCTGGGCGCGCCGCCCTCCCGGGCAGTAGAGTTGAGTGCAGGGCGCTAGAGCGCCGAGCAGAGCGCCTCGTCGGGGCTTCGGCCTCGGCAGCGCGCCGCCTAGCGGCAGGTCGCTGCGGGAGGCAGGGCGCTAACGGCGGCGGGGAGTATAGAGAGGGGGCGGCGGCGAGTGCAGAGCGCCTCTCCCCGCCCGCCCCCGGTCGGTGCGGGCGAGCGGCGGATCCATTTTGTGTAGGCCGGCGGCGAGCAGGTCGGGGGCTGCTGGCCCGCAAGCTAGGCTGTGCGGGGCCGGGGCTAGCCCGGCCCCCGGCGGCCTCCCGCGGTGTAGCGGGGCGCCGCGGACCTCGGTTACCCCGCGGCGGCCATGTTACCGCGCCTGCCCGCCGGCACTGGCTGTGGCCCACAGCGGGTGTCGCCGCCCCGCCCCTGCCCCGAGCAGCCGCGGCAAACCCGGTGTCGGTGACCTGAGGGGCGATGGCAGAGCTCATTAATTGTTGTAGCGGTTGTCGGGGGAAGCGAGTGCGGCCCGAGCGAGGCCTCGGGAAAGGCGCTCAAACGCGGCGGGCAGCGAATGACGGCGCGGAGACCCTGCGTGGGGAGGGGGGCGATGCTGGGTGGGCCACCCCCCTAGAAATTGCATGAACGGTTTTGTTTTCAGCGAATAGGCTCGTGATAAATCTGAGAGGCAAAAATGAGAACGGAGCAGCGGATGTGTGAGATTGCTTCATCCGTTACAGAAGCAACTGCACTGAGGTGTGGGAAAGAATTTTTTCTTGTTTCTCTCTTCCCACACTGAAGTATGAGTTAAACATGCTGGTATGTTCTGTAGCCAGTTAGCAAAGGTTTATGCAAAATGCTGGATTCCCATTGTAGAGAAAAGACACGAGGGCTTGTATGCATGAATTCCAGTAGCTGGGCAGTGAAGCCTCACGACTCCTGTTTCGGCCAGCGGTGCACCAGCCCTTCATCCCTAGTACAGAAAACCTGAGCGATTTTTGTCATGTTCAAGCCCTAGTTCATGGCAGGTGAATCAGAGATCCCTGGCTGGTGGAGAAAGGCAGCCATTGGAAGAAGTCTGAAGACTCTTCAGTCAGGAGAAAAGTCTGGAAAAACAGATTGTTAAATAGAGAAACAGCTTTGGTCTCTGCTGGAAAAGCTGGACTTTGTGTTCCTTTGTTGTTAAATTCCAGGGAATCCAAAGAGGTTGTACACGATGAATGCACAAGAAAATCTTCAAGTAGAGTGTAAACTCAAGTTATGAGATGCAACGCTTCCAAAAAATTATTTTAATACACATAGAACTGTGTTCTATTCTTTATCCTTTCTTTTCATCTAGAGGTGGTTATTGATCCTTTTCTGTTTAGGCTGGTGCTCCTCTAAGATCTTTCTTGCAGTGAATATGACTTCCAGGTAGCATTTGCACTTTTAGCCCCCACCTTCTCCACACTGTACACATATTTAACAATTGTATCCCTGAGCTCTTTGGGCCAGTTTACTAACTATGCTTTTGAAAGTCTGTCCTTTCAAAATAGGATATTCTTGCTGCAAACATCCTTTGATTTATCCTCCTGATAGATACACTCAAAGCGAGTTCTCCTGTGATCAGTTTACTCGAGGTCATTTCCTGTAGGCAGGTTTCTCCCCATATTCTTACTGTTTGTTGTGGTTACCCAGTATTATGAAGAAATCTCTTGCTTCCCTTATGAACAAATTTATGTACTCAACCATTTTCAGAAAAAATTGTTTTCCAGTCTGCATTGAGGAGGACAAAGTGTAACTTCCCAATAACTTGACAGATGCTTTTGTCACTATCCAAATCTGGTCTGGTGTCCGGGGTTCAGTGAGTGGTGGGGACTTTTTTGGTAGCAGGGGAGGGGCCTATAGGGGCGTCCCCCTGTGAGAAGATTCTCGAAGCTCCCCCAGCTCCAAGTCAGCTCCACCTCTGCTTGAAAACGGAGCCAATCAGCTGCACCTCTGTGATAACGTATTTAAGAAGGGACATGGTGACGTGCAGTCGGGCTTGTGAGGAAGAGTTGCGGCAGCTGCGTGAACACCAAGGTCAGTGGAGGAACAGAGGAAGAAAGGGAGGGGGGAGGTATGCTGGAGCAGAGGCCCCCCTGTATCCTGTGGTGAGACGGCAGGGCAGCACCCCCCGCCACCCATGATCTACAGCGGAGCAGACACTGATTTATGGCCTGTGGTTTCCACCCCGTTGATCAAGGTGCTGTGTCCGAAGAAGGCCAGGGTCTTGTGGGAAAAGGTAGCCCCGCTGTTGTAGTTCAGCGCTGGGAGGATTGCAGCACGCAGGGGTGTCCCACGCCAGAGCAGCTCGGGAAGGGCTGCAGCCGTGGGAGGGAATCCAGTCGGAGGAAGTTGGTGACCCATGACGGAGCAGTGTGGGGAACGCTGCAGCCCATGGGAACAACTCATGTCAGAGAAAGTTTGTGGAGGACTGTCTCCTGTGAGAGGGGGACCACAACGGAGCAAGGGGAACAAGTTCCAGAAGCTCCCCCCACTGAAGATGGAAGAAGCAGCAGCACTGACTGCACCCCCCCCATTCCCTGCCCCTGCGCCACTGGGGGAGGAGGTAGAGATCTTTGGAGCAGAGCTGAACCCGGGAAGAAGGGAGGGGTGGGGGGAAGGTGTTCTCAAGATGTGGCAATGCTTCTCACTTTCCTACTCTGTTAAGTGTTGTTACTGTCTGTAATAAATGTATGGTTTTTTTCTTCTCGTAATGAGTCTGCCTTTTGCTTGCGACCATAAAGTGTGATTTTTCCCCATCCCAGACGTATCTTGAACCTCAAGCCTGGCTCTCTGTCCCTTCTTATTGCTGGAATAGAAGGGAGAGTGGCTGCGTGGTGGTTGGCTACCGATCAGGCTCAAACCATGGTATCTGGGCAGCAGTAGAGTTGACTCCCACCAGCCAAGATACGGTGGCTTTACCCAATGTTACCTTGCCCTAAAAGAACCCTGTTATGTCCACATTTTGCCCTCTTAGTCTTTTAGACTGTAGCATTATGTGATATTGATGGTTTTAGTTCATTTTTTAAATAGCTCATGCTCTTCCTGCTTCTAAATGCTATTCTACCACATTCCAGTTGTCCCTCAATCAGTGTCACATTTTGGATCAGCAGCTCAAGTTTTTTCACTTCATCTGATGGTAATGCTGCAGCAATCTTGGACCTTCTGGTGACGCCTAGAAAGGAGCAGAAAGCATATTCTCCCATTCTTTGCATAACTTCAGACCTTCTTTTTGTGGCTTTTGCAATTGTTCTGTCTTCTGAAGCCATGGAAACTGGCTACAGCAATACAAGTTGTTAGGGGGGAGGCTGGATTCCCTAGTTACTGGGAAACATTGCAGGCGTCTTATGGTATCTAACTTGTGTGCAGGTTTAAACCAACTGCCAGAGTTGGGTCAGGAAGTAATTTCTGGTTTGGACTGGCAGAGTTCTGCATTCGTAGGAGCATCAAAGCATTCTTGCTTACCAAACTCTTTCCTGTTACAATGGTCTTTCGTCCTTTGACATATTGTAATCTGGATCTGAGGTTATGATGCCATGGTGTGCATGGAGTAAATATTTTCCTCTGGACCAAGTGTCTGGTACACTGGTTCCCTGTGACTGCAGAGAAAGCAGTTGATGACTCAGGTGGTCCTTTCCTGTCCTGTTTCTCTTCTGACTCTAATACCCAAGTTTTTTCTGTCTTGCCAATTACACTCAATTAATGAAAACTTCCTGAGGGGTTCAGTCACTGCCAATACTTTCTTCCTGCTGCTCATTCTCCAACCCTCTTATCACTTTAGCAATTGCCTTATGTCTATTGCAGGTTCCTCCTCCTGTTACTAAAACAAGGCAGACTATAAGGAGTGTTAATTTAAGGACTAAAAGAGTTCAGTAAAGAGGCACATTTGCTTTGATTCCTAACCACAGTTTATGCTACATACATGTATTTTCATTAGGTCCCTCTGCTGGCAGGCAGACATTCCCCAAATACATCATGTTGCTGTGCCTTTGACCTCTTCTCCAGCGCCAGAAGGACTTCTATCAAATATTACCACGAGTGTCCATTTATTTCTTCTCCAGTCTCCTTCCATTTAGGTTAATTCAAGTGAAGTTATTTTCACAGGAATGATTCTAGTTAACTCTGTACTTGAAGACTTTCAAAATTAGAATTATTCTGAAAACAAAGTTACATCCTATAACTCAGTTTGCATTTGACTAAACATGGTCTTCAAGTGTTCCTGACAATACTTAAACAGTTTCCTGCAGTATCTGTAGAGGCAGGGTGCTAGCAGGAAACTTATTAGCACATCAAGGCACTTCCCAAGGACAAGAAATAATTAGCAGAGGAGAGGTATTATCTTCAGGGTATGATGTCCAGTATACTCACAGCTGAGTTCAGCTATTCTCTGCAGCTAAACCAGTGTAAGGCACCACAGGATAAAAGCTCCATTAAATTTTGGAAATTTTCTTAATTATACCAAGAACATAAAATTTTAGTCTCCCCCTTTACTATACCTCAACTCCAGCATTTTGGCCAGGAAGCACGCTTCGACATGTTGGCCCCTGGTGATCCTCATATTGTCTCTCACCTCTCAGTCATAAGACAATTCTCACCACAAAGCAGAAATCAGAAGAGCAAATTATGTTGCTAAAAATTAAAGAGTAATGGAGAAGATAGGAGAATGCAGAGTTACAGCTTTGAAATACTTTTCCCCACTTCTCCATGTGGCTTAACCATCTCTTTTCCCGCCCTTTTCCCGTCTGACCACTTCCTTCCCAACAGCAAACACTGCAGGCCTCTGAGACTCTCTTGATCCACCACCATTTCTCTGATTCTCCTCTTACCAACTCTGCTCCCAGCCCACATTAATACCTTTCCCAGTTTGACGCCTTCCTGTCACAGTTCGATACCTTCCTCCTCTTCCTTGACACCTAACGAAAGGGATAAGGCTTTGAGGTGCATACGTGCCAAGCAAGCAAGAGGGAGAGATCTGTCCTGACCCAATGCTGCCCTCCCTTCACCTCTCTGCATATAAGCAAAAGGCCTGGGCTGCCAGCTAACCCAGTACAGACACAGGAAACTGAGCAGGACACTTAACCAAACTTCATTCATTGTACAGTTGTATACAAGCCCATCAGTTCCAAATTAAAATCTTCCAGACCACTGGTCCGGAGAAGGCACACCATCTGGTGCAGATTTGACAGCTTTTCTCCAGAACGCAGATACTCATTTGCTCATGGGACAGATGTGAAGGAGTTTCCCAGAGGAATACTTGTCCTGCTGCAGGTACAGCAATAAAAAGCTTTTAAAATGTCTGTAGCTTCATTCTCAGCCAGAGTTGCATCACCAATATTTAATTTGGAATGCTGAAATCACTTTTTCCAATGATCCCAATGAAGAGGAAGTCAGGCATGTTTCGGGCCCTGCCGTCCTCTCTTTACCGTATGCTTCTCACGGCTGTAAGTAATCAGGCCAAGTCAGAACAAGGATAAATAAAAACAGACTCTTACAAGTATCTCTTTCTTAGAAGATCAAGGCTATGAAGTCAGTTCAATGTCATCCACAGTCTTATGAGTAGAGTCCCAGCAAAAAAGAAAGGGGGGTTGGAACCAGAAGGACCCTTATCCTGGCTCAGAGTCTTCATATTGATGGCTTGGGCTGGACAGGTTAGAATCGAGGAGCTCCATAATCATCTGGCATCCTCTCAATATTGTATCTGAGAAAGAAAGAGGGAAAAACCTATGAAGACAATCTACTCCAGATTGCTTCCCTCCCCATGCAGCAACAGGCTTAAAGGCAGACCGAACAGCAAGAAGCTTTGTTGCATTTCTATCTGCAGCTCAGACCCTGAGGAATTAAAATATTACTTCCAAAAGTGAAAAGCTTTCATAAGGTTACTGTTACGCTTTACCTCAAACTCAGAAATTGGGCATCTCAAAAACTCACCATCACCAGAGAAGGAAAAAACCAGTGGTTTTGTAAGATCTGACTTAGGATTTAAGAGCAGAGCACTGCAGAGAATAAAACTTCGGCAATTCAATTTATGATTCATGGCCACAGTGAATAAGGGGCAAAGATGTTTTGAGAGATGTTCCAAGCCACCTTCTAATTATAGATCAATTAAGACTACGTATTTAGAGCAATCAACCTCCTCATTTCTGACATACTGCTCTGTCTGTATATTATCAATGCAATGACTCATTGTCTCCACTGCTAGCACAACTGCCTCCTTTCCAGTATTGATTCCATCCCACCTGAAGACTTTGGCCCTTTTCTCTCCACTTCCTGACTTCTCTCCTTACCACACTACCAAACATATCTTCCATATCATGAAACAACTTGGCATAGGTTTGATGCAAGATAAATCTTCTGGGCTGTACGTTATGTAGAAGAAATATTAAAACACTGAATATGACAAACAAAGATGAGTGAAGTCTTCTTAGTCTAGGCTTTACAAGTGCTTTAAAAGGAACAGTAAATTAATTTAAGCAAATGTTTTTACAGTTGGTCAGTGGTCCTATTGCATGTAGAAGAAAAAAAAAAAAAAAACCAAACCAAAGTGAGCCAGTACTTGCAGGTACTGGAAAAATCTGTTGTACTGATATTGCTGCATGAGTATCCTGAGTTGGTTTGGTTTTTAGCTAAAAAGCAAATTCAATTTCTTAGCTGATGGTACACAAAACTACCAAACAGAATATGGCACAAGAATGGTTCTTTTCCTCAAGAACCTGTAGAATGCATTTGTCTGGTAGTCCTGCTGCTGGTAAGCAAAACTCATTTATGGAAACAGTGGCCTCAAGGAAACTAGTTTTCCAGGTCAAAGTGATGGAATATGTTGACTGCAATAAAAGTGGGTCTGTGACCAGCCTCTTCCCAGCAGCAGCTGTACTTCTGTGCAATACTAGGCCCTCTACTGCAACCTGCACTATAGACAATGAAGGAGAGAAGTGCGTGGTGATAGAGTTCCCCCCTGTCAGGCAAGGGTTGCACCAGGCAGTGTCCCTCCCTGTCAGAAGTCTCTTACCTGTGCCTGGAAATATACATTATAGGCACTCCTGGGATTTTTCGTATTCTCCGCTTGAGCTCTTTATCCACTGTGGCCACAATGTAACATTTATGCTGCAAAAAAAAGAGGCAAGTCAGATTGAACACCCCTGAACCTGCAGGAAGGAGACAAAGCTGAGCAGAAGCTTCTACTCAGTGAGCTCATTTAACACAAAAGGGTTGCAAGTCCTTAGCGAGGCATTACCAGGACTTGTACAGAATTCCGCTAGTAACATCCTTCTGCTCATGAAAACAGACTTGTAGAAACATCCCAAGTCTGTCCAGCCTTCCTACCTGACACCTTTCCCATCCCTAAGTGCTTCCTGATGCTGACCCCTACAACAAGAACGCTCAGGGAAGATGATACCTTGCTTCAACTAAAGTTGTGCTAGGAACTGAAACTACCCCTTAGTGAGATTTTACAGTTGCTTTGTGGGAAATTTAAGTCATCAGTAACTAGGAGGGATCAGGAATTTTTAGTATGTTAGCACACTATAGAAAATTAAAGAAACAGAAATACCTGAGTGACTCTCTGTACCAAGCAGTCATCTGCGTAGGTTCCTTTGTGCGCACATGGCAAGCGTTCAAACCGAGGATCCTTGGCAATTCTGTGGGGACACATAAGGCAGCATCACAGCAATCAGACCAGAACGTACAGTAACACAGTATGAACAGGAATGGGCCTTTCTGTGATGTACAGCCTGTTCTCAAAACAAGACCTGAAGTGATGGAGGGAATGGTACACAACAGTCAACTGAAATAAGGAACAACAGAAAAAAAAAGAATGCAATTTGTCTGGCTAATTGTTATAGGTTAAGTGTTTCTTAGTACTTGTTAGTTGGTTTCAAGGTCCCTACAACGCTAGGCTCTTGCCTAACAAAGGCATTTGAAACAAGTTATCTGTGGGAAGAACTAAAACTTCCTCTGGCATCCGATCATTTGTTCCATGCATACAGGAATACTTCACCTCCTCTCTGAAGGGAGCATCAAGCTGTTTAGGAGATGCACTCAGATACTTTACAACACAATAGGCCAAAATAAAAATAACAGTACATCTGACTGGTACACCTGGAGAGCACGAACTGCATTGGACTAGTTTTGCACAGATCCCACAATAACCTGGCTCTAGATTATCAGTATGTGCTACCTGCTCCTACAGCAATAATACGCAGCATGAGTGAATGGTTCTGTAAGACTCGGGTCACTTCTTTATTTATTTTTAGAAATTTCTATAATTAAAAAAATCTATATATATTTTGAAAAACAGGAGGAAGTGTTATTTTGAAAGCCTTAGGGGGGGAAAAAATGTACACATCAATATTGTGCACTCATAGATAGCATTTAGTTTTAAAAAAAATATACTCTAAACCTCAAGCCATCATACTGATCTCATACAGCCAGAGAAATAAAACCAAGTTTGGAACTCCACAGCAATGTAACCATCCTCTAGTTCAAGAGCTCCTTCATAGAAAGTACTTTTATTTCTATTAGAACAATACGTTCTAGAAACAGAGAAGAACACCCTGAACCTACCTTAACGCCACACGGTACTTCTGTCCTAACTTCTCAATTTCACCCATCACACAATCTGTGATACATGGAATACCTACATGCAAAAAAAGCCTGTATTAAAACCAAGCAGTATCTCTTCACAGACCCCTACACATTGCCCACATACCCAGGAACTATCATGGATCTCTATAACATATCATTTACAGTTTTAAACTTATAAGAACTGATGGCTGCAAAATGATGAAACTCAGACCCACTGAGTTTGATCACGCCATGGTAATTTTAGGTTTTAAAGTTACTAATGCTTTACCTTTGTTGAGATTAGCATTTAAGACCATTGTTTGACTGAAACCAGAGACAGTTCCAGGGTTACTACAGCTGTGAAACAGGCTCGATGATTATAGCACATATCCTTTTTTCAAGACTTCTGTTACTCTCAGCTAGTGGTATGAGGCAGATAAAGCACATCACGAGTGCACTGTGGCACTATGTGGTCCAGAAGCAGCTGTGGGTGATGCAGACACTCACACTTGGCATAGAGACAGTCCATCATTGACTGCACTAGGTCCAGCTTTGCCTTGATGGAGAAGTTGATAAAGTTGGTGTCAACCAGGATGTGGTAAGGGGGGCCCAACTGTGTGTTATACTGGAAGAACAAGCAAGAGGGATGCTGGGGGCTGCCGGGAAGACAAAGAATTCAGATCAGTTAATTGCAATTAACAACATATCCAATCCTGCAACTTGCCCAGAAAGAAGAGTTAACGAGCAGAAACAACAAAAGGCAGTGTGGGATGGCGACCCATCAGGCCTCCCGCTGCCCCCCAAGCCCAGTCCCTTGGTTTGGGGCACTATTTCCTACTTTCATAGTTTCGCTCAGAAAGGCAGCCTGGCCGGCCAGTCCGTCCGTCCGTCCGTCCGTCCGTCCCTCCCTCCCTCCCCAAAGCGTCGGCAGCACTTACACCTCCCGCTCCTTGATGGCACTTGGGTCCTCCTTCTTCTTCACGGGGGCTTTGGCCCGGTCCTTCTCGTTACTGCAAGGAAACACAGGCACTCCTGGGGGAGGGGAAGGGGGGAGAGGGAGGCCACGGCCGTGACACGGGGACAGCCAGCCCCGGGGCCCCGCCCGGGCCCGGGCTCAGCCGCAGCCACACTCACATGCGCTGGTCCCGGAGACTGATCATGCGCTTCATGGCCGCGTACTTCCGCGCCTTCTTCTGCTTCCCCTGCAAGGAGACGGACACGCGGTCGCGATGAGCTGGGGAGAGGCCCCGGCCCGGCGCCCCCCCCCCGCCCCACCCGGCGCCCGGCTCACCATCGCCGCTCCTGCCGCCGCTTCCGGTGCCGCCGCCACGCGTCAGCGCGCCTCTCCTCGCCGGGCAGGTCCGGGAGCGACGTCACTTCCGGCCGCCACCACCGGGCAGCGGGAGTCCGCGCCTGTCGCGCGCAGGAGGCGGGCCCGACGTCGCGGCCGCCGCCGCCCTCGGTAACGGCGCTCCCCGCCCCCGGGGCTGCGGCGGCGGGGGTCCCCGCTCTGCCGGCGGCGGGTGGCCGCCCCCGGGAGGGCCGCGGTGGGGGGCGGGTGGGGGCTCCGGGGCAGCGGGAGGCGCGGCGGTCTCCAGCTTTCTCTTTCCGGTCGGGCCGTGCGGCGTGCCGGTGGCCCGTCGCGGGGGCTGCGGGGGCTGGAGGCCGCGGGGTTTGGTGGTCCCGCCGAGCCGCAGGCGGTACGGGGGGCAGGGGGGACACGGGACCCCCGCACCCACCGCCCTCCTTCCCCGCTTCTTTTCTGTTTTGCGGGGCGGGGGGGGGGTACGGAGGTGTCCAGCCCGCCTTCTCACGCCTGCTGCGCACACGCGTTTTGAGGAATTAATGTGACGCTGGCCTTGCTGCGCTCTAGCTCGCAAACCTCCTCAGGGAAAGCAGTGGGTTGTCATCGTCTGTGGATCTTACCAACAGTTGTGACCCGAAATCCTAGCAAAGGAGCATAATTTCGGGTTTGCTTTCTGCAGCCTTAATGGTATAGTCTGCTCTAAAGTATCTTTTCTGCACGTGTGAGGAAATGTGCTCCGAGTTCTTGGACTAGACCTGGACCCTTGGTTTCCAGTGCTCTGTGCAGGGAAGGGTGAGAGCGAGGCCTCCTTGCTGTTACCTTTCTCGTTTAAGCTTCTGGGATTAGTGAGAATTTGTAGCTGCTGTCTTCCAAATGCAATTGGGTTTATCTGGTGTGCTGGTCTGAAAAAGCAGCTGTGCAGCGAGTGAGGTACTACATAGGAGTTGTTTCCTGAAGCGCTGGCTTCAGTAGAACTGTGACCGAGGCTGTAACAGTGAGGAAGAAAATTAGACTGAAAGGAGAACTGCGTTCATTAGGGAAACCACCGCTGGGGTTTTCACATGAGTGATCGTACCAGCCTTAATTGTTGGTTGAGGAAACGCAATCAGCAGAGCTCCGCTGATGCTGCTTGAGTGACCCAAATGGTTTGGATGGAGGAAATAATCGAGGAGGAAGGGAGTGAGTGATCTGCTTTCCCCATGGGTGTGTACGGTGACAAGTGGCAGAATGTTGTTCTGGCTTGGGAAGCAGATCTGGGGTCGAGATGAGACTGGCCTGAAAGTTGCCATCTGGCTGGCTTGCAGTGTTTGAGAAGGATGGGAGGAGCTGGCAGCCCTGATGGTGGTTCAGTTGCCATGAAAAGTCCGTAGACTTAGGCAGTTGGCGTAAGTCTCCCATATTTTTTTTTTTCTTGCCACTATTTTATTTGACTTGTGTGTAAATGCATATGACAAGTTCCAGCCCTGATGAGAGAATGACTGTTCTGTATGGATACTGGCTGTTGATGTGGCATTTGTACTTGACAGCTGATATTGGAGCCTGCACAGTGCCTTTTGCGCTGACTCTTCAGTCTTATGTGGGTGTAAAGTTAGGTTCCTGTGGGCATTCCTGTTTGTTGGTTTGTGCATGCTTTACTTAGTGTGAGAAAATACTGTGCCCTTTCACTCAAAAGAGAATTGTCATCTTGTGTGTGCCATGAGATGCACGTGACATTGGTGGTAGACATTTGTGCATGTGGATGGAGGGCACAGAAATGAAGGGTTCTGTCATCTTGGTTGGATGAGGTAGTATCCATCTGCAGAAAGGTTTTAAACCCGTCTTTCTTCTTAATTTTAGAACTTGTCAAAGGAGAGAAGAAAGGAATTTAAATTTATCAGTGCACCAAAAAAAACCAAGAAGCACAACAGATCTCTTAGAACCTCAGTAAATCAGCTCCGTATAGCATGCCCCCAACTTGCTCTGTAGCTGTAGCCACGTGAATGTGCCATTACTGTGTTACAGATCCTTTTGTCTGTGCAGCTATACTTGTGCTTCCTTCTGGAGCTTTGCACAGTGTTCCTCTGGCTTCACAGCAGCAACAATACAAACAAAATGTATTCCATTACTGGCCTTCCTTTCCTTGATGAGTTGAGAGAAGCATGGCATTAATATGGCCTATTTTATGATTCTGTGCTGTTTATCCCGATTATGCCAGTACTTCTCCTTGAATCGTACCAAGGTGAAACTTTTCAAATCCCCATTTTCCCTGCAGATGGCAGGAGACCATTGCTTGATCTGTCCTTGGATCAAGATCACTAAGACCTGTCAGACAATTCAGCATTTTTTTTTCCAGCTTAGCTACGATGGCACCTTATATTGCCGATTTTCAGAATTTGTTTCCCAGATTGTTAGCTGGTAGTTCTCAGCACAGATACTATTTTAATTTAGATCTGCATTCTGATGAGTGGCAACATATCTTGGATACCAGCTACTCGCAACCAGTTTCCCTACCCCAATGTATCCCAGCTGCGAGAGCATCCTTAAAGCTGCTGGCAGTGTGTATACTAGAGGGGAGTTGATTGTACAACAGCCACTTCATCTCTGGTGGCCTCCTGACTTGGTGTCTTGTTTACTATTTCATGCAGAGATAATAAAATGAGAAGTTGCTGTGCTGATTGAGGAAGGTAACTAATTCCCTGTGTCCAGTAAGCTCTGATATTCTGCAACCCAGATCAAGAGACTCAGGCTTCAATTGACTTAAAAAGCCTTTTAGTTGAAATGATGGGTCTTTCTGTTTTTATGCTTTCAAGAGAGAGATTGTGTGACTTGTGATGTGCTTTGCAGAAGGGAAGGAGTTACGGACTGAGGCAGAAATAGCTTGGGTAGATGAACCCCCCAGGGCCAGTTTTGTGCTGATGCTTTAGAAATAGCTTGGGTAGATGAACCCCCCAGGGCCAGTTTTGTGCTGATGCTTTTTCGGTGACATGAAGAGACTGGTTCTGTAAAATGCTGGAGGGAGATCTCTTAGATTCCCAAACATTGATAAGTTTCTGTGAAATTTCTCAGCTGTGTGAGGAGGAGCCACAGACCTTCCACAGCCAGGCCAAGCTGGAGCGGAGTTTCAACCAGGTGTCTGTAGCACATCTCGGGTACGTACTGTGAAAGAACTAAAATATCAAGGAAGTTGCTAGGTCTGTGATTCTTAATACACAGAGATACAAGCTTAGAAACCTGAAGCTTCATCTAGGAGGAGGATGAGAACTTATGCCCTGGGGACTGCAACACTGCTCGCTCAAGCAGAGGGAAGAAGAAAATAGCTGAGTGGGTGGGATTTTCCTTGAGAGGTGGGGGAGGAAAAGACAGTGAGAGTCAGGCTGCTTCTGCAGCACAGAGGGCTCTGTGCAGACTTACCTGTTGGTTTTCATACGTGTTAGAAAGCTTAGCGGAAGCGTGCAAAGACAGCTAGATCTGTATGACTGTTGGGATGGAGGGAAATAAGAGACATCTGAAGAGGAAAGTTGATGAGTGGAGGAATAAGGAGGAAGTGGCAGCTGAGGTGGTGGTGTGGCAGGAAGGAGGAGCACATCACTTAGATCACCAGAAGAGGTGACTGTCTTTACAGACAGCTGCTACGGTGAGCCTGGGGTCTGTTCATTTCATTCTCACTCCTTTATATAATATGTGTTCTGAATGAGTGGATGCTGACTGTGTAGGCTCTGTGACTTTTCTTCCGGCATATGTCCTGGGTTTTGTGGGTTGCATCAATCCTTGCTGTTAGATTTTTTTTTTTTTTTTTTTATCTCGATCCTGACACTAAACTAATTTAGTGGATAGTGCTACTGAAACTGAAGTGCCTTATGAGTGTACTGGTTTCTTGAATATTTAAAACAGCAGCAGCAAAAACTATTACCTAGTTTGCTTTGGGGTCCAAGAACTTTACAATATTTTTTTGTTTTTGTGTTTGCTTTAGGCTTGACTAAATAGCCCTCTAGATCTGGGCAGAATCAGTCTGAGAATAGTACATGGCATTTCGTGGGTTGTAAAGGCTTGAAATGGTCCCTGATTTTTGGCTCTCCTCATGAATAGCACACAGGTTCTTAGCTGCTCCATGAAACCCATGAGCCCGATGAAATCTATGGAGGCAGGTTGTGTTCTGTTACATCTTGAACTTGCTAGTTTCCCGAGGTCACATAATGAGATGAGAATGTGACGGGTGGAGGTTGAGGATATGGTGAAGCCTAGCACCTCATCAAAAGCAATACCTTTATAGCACCTCTCTTATGGATTTGACGTCTAGTGATACTCTTGCATTTTACACCTCTCACATGTTTCTACTTGCTAGATTTGTCCACAACAGTGGAAAGATCTAACTTTTTGCTCTCCTTTTTTTTCCAGGGAAGCTAGCAAACAAGAGGCTACAGGGAGCAGCATTGCAGGACAACACCTTTCTACAAAGAGGAAGAAATTGCTGTGCTCAGGTCCTCACCTTTCAGCAGTCATGCTGTGATGCAAGTTCCAGGAGTTTCTCCTTTTGTGATAATCTTTATGGCCTCTTCTTGCTGAAGTTTGCCCAAGTGTTGGGCACAAGGAGGAAGGATGCTGAAGAATGGGTACCCCCATTTTGGCTTTTAGAACATGGACACTTGTGTAAAGGTATGTGATTGCTCTTTGGTTGAAGGGATGAAATATCTAGAGGCCAGCAAAGGGGATTTGCTGGGTTGGAAAGTCATGGCTATTGTCGGGGGGGGAAATACCTCATTTAAGCTTTCTGCATGCTGATGTCCATTGCTGCTGCTGTTGAGATGACCGATGAATAACTCCCTTTTTGTGTTTGTTTTTAAAAAAAAAAAAAGGCAGCTTGAATGCACAATGTAGCTTCTCACTAACTGAATGGTGACATGGCGAGCTATATTGTATGCATTAGTGTATGCCAAATTATTCGTCTAACTGTCACACACGTTCCTTGCTGCTGCTCTTGTTCCATCCGTCAGCTATGTCTTATCACCCAAACAGCATGTTGTTGTTCTGGGTATGGTCTTTTTACCACATGTTTGTTTAGCAGTCCCCTCAGTGAGAGCTTCGTTCTAGAT